TCCCTTTGCAGGTGCTGATAATGCCAAGGGCACAAAACAGCATACCCGCTGTTCTGTTAGGTTTCCTAGCGAGGCGCGTGATGTGTGGTGATCAGTTTGTAAATTCCTCCCTCTTCCTTGGAATGCATAAAGGACTGGGAACACCACTCCTGTTTCAGAGCTCGCATGACTGAACTGTGATGTTTGATGCCTGGGAGCTTGAGGGTCCTGCGCAGTATCTTAGCTGTTCCCAGGACTGCGCTCTTCTGGACAGAGAGGTTATTCCCGGGATCTGCTGGAGCCACTCGCCTAGCTTGGGAGTCACCGCACCTAGTGCTCCGATTACCACGGGGACCACCGTTACCTTCACCCTCCACATCCTCTCGAGCTCTTCTCTGAGCCCTTGGTATTTCTCCAGCTTCTCGTGTTCCTTCTTCCTGATATTGCTGTCATTCGGAACCGCTACATCGATCACTACGGCCGTCTTCTTCTGTTTGTCTACCACCACTATGTCCGGTTGGTTAGCCACCACCATTTTGTCCGTTTGTATCTGGAAGTCCCACAGGATCTTAGCTCGGTCATTCTCCACCACCCTTGGGGGCATCTCCCATTTTGACCTCGGGACTTCCAGGTTATACTCGGCACAGATGTTCCTGTACACTATGCCGGCCACTTGGTTATGGTCTATTTGGTAAAGTAAATTGAAGTAAATCTGTTGGGCATCTTTCTTCGCCTTTAGACAATAATTCTGATGCAAAAGAGCCGAACGGGACAGGCAAACAAACAAACAAAAAACAAAAACCAAAGATAGCGGAGGGCGTTACACAGCAGCTGTTTTGTTTGACAGCCCTATTAAAGATTAACATCAGTCTGCACAGGATGATCTGATATCCTCGTGTCGGTGTTGTTCCCACATCATCATGCAAATGTTGTTCCAGGATCAACATTGCAACTGACCAATCACATTGTTGTGACGTTATTCTTTTGCACGCCAAGCCATTCGTGCATTTATGAAATTCCAATGTTGCAAGGACAATATCAGTTCTGCTTACTGTTTATTAAAGGGTCAGGGTCCGTTGATTGGCGGACAGAGGCGGTTTTTCCCGAAGTCGCAAAAGTATGACGTCACAACATTCTGATTGGTCACTTGCAATGTTGATCCTGGAACAACATTTAGTATGATGATGTGGGAACAACACCAGCACGAGGATATCAGATCGTGCGTCTGCACGCGCTCCAGAGAGCTTTTCTTCACATTCTTTAATTCTCACTCGCTTTTGCAACTTTGTACTTTTGTGTTACTCGCAGCAACGACTCCACTTCATTGTTAGTCCATTTGAAAAACTCGCTGCTTTTCCTGCGACGTTTCAAAGAGCAGGAAAGTAAATAAGCGGCAGACAGAAATGAGGCAGGCGCATGCGCAGCACTGGAACGTCAGCGTTTGCAGCTGTTTCAGTGTGGACGCACAACTCTGTGAAAATGACTGAAAACGCTTGTGTGGACGCGGAGCCGTGGACGTAGCTATGGCTAAGCTCTCCTGCCTGTGCTCTGGGTTTCTGCACTTGGGTTCGGTTCTGGTACTGAATACTAGAACTAGCACTGTTAACAGAAGAGTTATTAAGGGCAAACCTTTCCTGGGTGTCTTAGCTAGTGATCGGCTCCAGATAAACACCATGGAGGAACCATACGAGAACATGTCATATTACTTTATGCTGTATGTCTAAAATGTGAGGATATTATCCAGTAATATTACAATCATGTAAAATATAATTGTAGTATTGGCGTTACAACAGACGGACGACGTGTCCAGGATGTGCCCTGGCTCTCACCCAGCATCTTCTGGGACCCTGAATCTAAACAGCATTGAAGAAAACTGATGATGAAGATTGCACCACCCTTTATTTAACTCAAACTTAACTTCCTGTTTTTAAGTTCATGATAAAAATCAAAAGTCTGAGAAACACTGATCCTTAAAGAAGAACAGCTCTGCTAACAAAACTCTGGCCATTAAGCGACAAATACATCACAAATCTTCGTACTGCATCACAATAAAGGCCTCGAGTTCTATTGTTGTTATTGTGAAAGACTGGATAATCATCAGTGTTCAAATTCTGAGCACTAAATCACTGTGACTTTTACCTTCCACAATAATGATTCAACACAATAAAACACAGCTCAGCTTTTATTTTGAAGCTGGGTTTTGGAGAGCTGGATGTAAATGTGTCTCCAAAGCTCTCAGCTTAGCTTCTGTAGTTTAAATGTGGCTGTAAATAAAATGCAAACATCAGCCATGACGGAAACGCCACTGTGAGCTACACGATGGTTCTCTGTGTGAAAGGACTGACAGTCTCTGATTCACGGGTCTGTCTTTGAGTCTGTTGCTGCTCCGTAACGCTCTCTGTGACAAAGCTTCCTCTCTTTGTGCTCTTCCATGTCTTTATATATGTTGGTGCCACAGTGGAGAATGTTCTTCTAACATGCACGATGTTTGCAGCGTTTTCATTTACAGCTGTAAAGTAACACAACACTCACTGCAGCCTGAACGTCACATGACCACCGGGCAAGTAAGCAGAGTAGGGAGGAAGGGCGTGCATGAGCGGTGTCTGCACAGACATGTCTACTTTCTGATGAACGGGGCCATGCACTACACCAGCAGGAGACAAACCGGTCATGCTGGTATCGATCCAGTACCAGTGGATTCAATATTTGGATTGATCAGGTCACTCCTGATCAGTGCCGCAGTGAGACAGTTTCAAACAGCAGATGTTTCTACAGCGGATCTGTGGCTAAATGAGCCCATTTGTATTGAACCAATGTGACTGTGACGAGTCAGCATGAAGTCATCTGAGTCATCAGAAACAGGAAGTGTGATGCACTCAGCACTGCTGCTGAGAGAAACCTGATGGACTCTGGTGAATCCTCTCTTAGACCCTAACAGGACTCGACTGCAGCTCTGCTGCTGCGCTCTCACTTTCACTTTCTTTAGTAACATGACCTCTGACTTCACATTTTTCAGGCGTTGCTCCGCCTCTACCTGCAGCTGTTTGTCTGGTTTTGCTGCCTCTTCCTTTGCAGCAATCAGCTGGTTTATACACACAGTAATGACGGCCTCAGGTGAGAAACTCACCTGGATTTCCAGCAGACTGAAAGTTTCTGGTGGCCACTGATGGAGGTCACAGGTCTGAGCTGAAATGATGCTTTAAATCAGCGGTCCCCAACCCCCGGGCCTCGGACCAGTACCGGTCCGTGAGTCGTTTGGTACCGGGCCGCGAGAGTTGAGGCTCAGGTGTGAAATGTGTGGTTTTCAGGGTTTTTATCGGTTTTCAGCGTTATTATGTTATCGTTTTTATCGTTAACTCGGTTTTCCTGGGTCTTTTCACGTGTGTTATGAATACATTTTGCTTTTTTTCTGTACCAGTACTAGTTTTATTTTGTTGTATTTATCCGCGACACCTTAAAGGCCGGTCTGTGAAAATATTGTCGGGCATAAACCAGTCCGTAGCGCAAAAAGGTTGGAGACTGCTGCTTTAAATAAAATATGTTAGAAATGAATTCTTTAAAGCTCTGAGTTTTTGTACTTCCAGCCTGTTCGACCTCTTTAGTTTGCTGTAAACCACAGACTTCACTACGTTTGTGGGAAACCATCACAGCACTGAATGGTTGCCAACTGTTTGACCATCAAATAAGGCCACCTCTGGCATGCCGAAGCACAACGCACAGCCAGCTGGACATAGTTTAAACATGTGCTGTATGTTCATTTCTTTTAACGAAAATGCAGTAAAATTTTGGTATTAATTTCAATCATCTAAAACAAAGACCAGGACAAAATCACAGTAAAATTAGATTTTGGGGCCATCTGTTGGTCAGAAAGTGGCATTGCAACATACGGGACATTTTGCTCGGTATGATGGATGTCGCGGCTCGAACAGGACAGAAACGTAACGTAAAATAATGAAATTGACCTCCTACATGTGTAAAAATATGTACTTAATATGATCAGTAATGTTATTGTTCGATTAATCGGGCTTACAATAGTAGAAAACTACTATTACTTGGGTTAATTATGTAATTGTATATAACGGTTCTTGTACATTTAAGCCATAATATATTTAATAAAATTGATATAAAACACGTCCAAGTGTGTAACTGATTACTTGGTTTATAATAAACTCCCATCTGCTGTTCATCTTTGACTACATTAAATGTAATGTTGATTTATGTCTTTCAAAACATCCATAAAATGTTGTTGTAATTATTCTGTTAATTGCAGATCTTGTCAAGTACAAAGAGACTGATAAGAAACGAGTCCACAAACAAATCACGTGTTCTTGGATGCAAACACTGAGAAGTCCACGTACTTTGTAAAGTGCTGTAAAAGAGGAGCACAACATTTTTATTTGGCATATTTGTCCTTGAAAACATTTTTAGACATTAAAAAAATCTAATGTTGCTATAAGACCACCTCAAGATTTCATGTCAGTTTTTACTTGAAATGATAAATAAATATTTGGCCTCACTGTAAATCTCACTGTGCAGCTGTCCTTCTCACTTGCAGACCCCTTCGTGTGATCGTGTGCGTGGCTTTGTCACGTCGGTGCTACTGGTTGCTGCGCAGCGCCATCTACCATCCCATCATGATCTCTGTCCTGGAAGTGCTCGTATAATAGCAGAAGTCTCCGATGCAGCATTGCAGTATTTCTGGCTGCAAGCAGCCTCCTATCAGGTAATTCTCACCGTCAGCAAAGCCAATCCAGTGCCATGCAGTTACAAGAGCTTGTTTCAGATTTACATCTACAAGCCTTTACCTTCCCTCTGTGAGCGCAACAGCAACAGACCTTAAATACTGATCTGCATGCGTAGCTTTACATCAGCTTTTAGGCGTTCCCATCACTGATGGAAACCTGACGTCTAACCTGCCACTTTTCATATCCTCCCTGATGAACTTGATGTGTTGCAGGTATATAGATGTGTGTGCATACTGTTGAAGTGAGACTGAGCAAACACAAGGAGCATAACAGACCAAATGTTTCCATTATTTATTGTTGAAAAGTAACCATCAGAGTTTCTAAGGCAGGCACGTTCTGAAAACACAGCTGTGAGTCAAAGAAACGGACGCGAGTCGAGTCCAGACCGGCAGGGACGGACATCTGTGCTGCAGCCCGATGACGAGTCAGTGTGGGCTCTGCTGCAGGTGATGCTCACTGGCTGTGTCCCATTTAGGGTCTGCACGCTAGAAGTACGCGCACTACGTACGGTGCGCACTACAAGTACGAGAAGTGTGGAAGCGAGAGGCTTGTGAAATGGGACGGTATACGCTTCGTCGCGCTGTTCAGGTTGCCTAGCAACCATGATACTAACCGCGAGACACCTTACACACAGCTTTGCGTACTTCAAGCGTGCAGTCTCTTAATTGGGACACAGCCACTGTCTGCGCTCTCAAACAGGAAGTTATTTCTACGTCACACAGGAAATGAGGTCACACAGAAATGGAAAGAACTCTAAAACAGGAAACGGACGCAGATCTCTGAGACTTCGACTAGAGTTTTAAATCACGAACTCTAAACCAATGATAACTCTTAACAGGACAGATACCGACTGATTAATGAACCGATCATCTCAGCTGAGGCCTGAGCCGCACACCTGAACCTGCCGTGCTCACAGGACCTCACTGATGACTCTACCATGATTGATTAGAAAAGCAGCCGTGTTAGGATGAAGACACGTTCAGTGCAGCGAGACGAGGAGGTGATCGGGCCGCGCGTGGTCTCAGCGGACGGACGGACTCCTCCTCAGCCCATGTAGGGGTACTTCCACTCTGTGAGGGGGACGTGCGTCCGCTTCACGGTCTGCGGAGACGTCCACCTGAGGACGTAGTGAGGACCTCCAGGTTTGTCGTTTGTACCTGCCACACAAAGCAAACAGCACTAAACTTATGGTCACACATCGTCTGGTCCTCGCTTACGTTTTGCTCGGAGTCGTTGTTTGGCGTTCCCGACAGGTAAAGTGCCCTCTGGTGGACAAACTACGTAACACGTGTAACAGGCGTTGACAAATATTTCAGACATATCTGCGATATTCTGATCAGACATAAGAAACCGTCGGCAAAACAGGAAGTACTCGAGTAAATGTACTCTGTTACGCTCCAGCTGAGGTCAGAGCAGCGGCGACGCTAACCTGAAGCTCTGGCGCCCCCGAACGGCTGCTGAGCCACGATGGAGCCGGTGGATTTGTCGTTGATGTAGTAGTTTCCCGCGGCGTTCCTCAGCACGCTGGAGGCTTCGTCGATCACCTTCCTGTGACGGAAACAACCAGAACACACAGAGTTCAAACTTCCTCTGAATCCATTGCTGTTAGAGCTCCGCCTCTTTCTCACTGTAACCCACTGACAGTCAAACAGGAAGTGGCTGAGGGCGAGCCTTACTCGTCCTTGGCGAACACGGCTCCGGTCAGCGCGTACGGCGATGTGGCGTCGATCAGCCGCAGAACCTCTCTGTAGTCCTTCTCAGGATAAACGTAAACGGCGAGGACGGGCCCGAAGATCTCCTGCAGAACACGCGTGTTCATTTAAACACGCAGAAACATGGGATCAGGAAGGCGGACACACGCAGATGCCGTGAATATGACAACATGCCATCGCGAGGAAAGCAGCTGAGGTAATAATGATGCGTGACACTCGCGGTGGGGTTTTAAAAACAACATGGACGCTCACGCAGCATCACTTCATACTTGTGCTCGCTGTCAAACATTGTGTCGCTAACAGACCTGAGACAAGCTCGTCGACACGCCTGTGCGCGCTCGCCAAGCTACATACATGAAACTGTAAACAAGGATTCATGAAGGATGCACACAGGAAGCAGGGAGACGGTTACTGCGGCCCGTACCTCGTTCATGATGGCGTCCTGCGGGTCTCTGGTCTCGATGATGGTCGGCTCCACGAAGTAGCCCTTCTTGTCGTCGCAGTTTCCTCCGGCGATGACTTTCAGGTTTGGGGAAGACTTGGCGCGTTCGAGCCACTTCTTTATCCGCCCAAACGACTGCAGGAGGTGACGAGCAAACGGGGCTCATGACGTACACCCACCGACATACTAACACTGAGACTTTTGTTGTTTCCGAGCAACGGGATGTTTACCTTGTCGTCGATCACGGCTGATAAGAAGGTGCTGAAGTCCTCGACAGGCTGACAAAACAGAGGAAATCAGTGAGACTCAAACATCACGCACTTCTTGCACTTAAAACCTGCTCAGAGCGAAACTTTAGGACCGCCCCCACGTCCTGTTTGTGGCCCACGGCTGACTGAGTCACCTGCTGCAAATCATTAACGCTCAAATAATGCAGGACGTGAGAGTGAACAATGACTGCATGCTTCTGCACGTCAGGCTGAATCACCTGGATGTTCTGCTGGAGGTTTCTTCCTGTTCAAAGGGAGTTTTTCCTTCCCACTGTTGCCAAAGTGCTGCTCATAGGGGGTCACATGATTGTTGGCTTTTTCTCTCTGTGTTATTGTAGGGTCGACCTTACAGTATAAAGCTCCCTGTTGTAATTTGGCACAACTGAAAACTGAATTAATGAACATCTAACCTGAATAAATCCTGATCACTTATGAACAGCTCAGACTTTTCAAACCGCTTCTGTGTGCACGTCTGAAACGACGCTAACATCTGCAACTCGCCAACAAAACCTCAAACACGCACGGACGAATCGGCTGATACGCACAGGACACGCCACATCCACACGCGGTCAAAAGACACAGATTAATGCTGCCCGCTTCGCACAGATGTAAGCTGCGTTCAAGTCCTGGTGTAAAGCTGGGACAGCGGGCGTTTCTTTTTCCAAACACACAGAACAGCTGGTCTCCCCACCACCACAGGAGCCTGCTGGGAAAAGTCAGGGAGCAGCGTGTTTGTCACTGTGTGTCAGCCAACTCATCCCTCTGCATTTGAATAGAGAAATAATCCAGGTGATGTTAGCTTAACCACTAATCCTGAAGGCTGCTGTGTCATTTAAGAATTTAATGGGTAAATCTCTTTGTGGCAGAGCTGCTCTGTGTATTTACAACGCCTGCTTTACTTAAAAACAAACAACAGAGGAGTAGAGGAGGATAGAGGATGCCCATTTGTCCCAGTTTTACACTGGGACTTGAACTCAGCTTACATTAGTGGGTCTGTGTGAAGCCGGCACCACGACACTTGTCTCAACATGCGGGCGATTCGTCCACACGTGTCTAAGGTTTGTCAGCGAGCGATGTTAGATCCGAGTCGTCCTTCACAAAGAGGTTTTCAATGACCCGTTCTGATTCTCGGCTGACGTTATTAAAAAAGCCCAAACAGATAAAAACCAAACTGAACGTGTTACATGAAATCTGAAGCGAGCAAAGCCGCTCCTGACCACGCAGCAGCTCTCTGTACTCACGTCGCCCACTCGGATGTCCTTGTGGATGGCGAGCAGCTGCTCTTTGATCTGCGGCCACAGGCTGTCCGGTACGTACATCCTCGAGCAGGCCGAGCACTTCTGACCTCCGTACTCGAACGCCGAGCGAATGGTTCCCGTCACAACGCTCTGGACCTCCGCTGACGTGTGGACGAAGTGGAAATTCTTCCCCCCGCACTCTGAAAGCACAAAGAAGTGATGGACACGAGCTGCTTTTAAAGACAGTAGTGAGAGCAGACAGCGAGGAGCGCTCCTGACCTCCTGCCAGTCGAGGGAAAGTCCTGTAGATGTCCAGGTTCTGCGCGACCTGCTTCCAAAGACGCTTAAACGTCCTATGAACACAGAACCGTTTGTAAGAGACGTACAGGCGGAGGACGAAAGACGTTTCACTCATCAACTCTGACAAAGCTGAAAGAACCGGACACGCTGACAAATCAAGCTGAAACTGCAGTTCCACGGACATCCAGCAGAGGCGCCGGCAGCGAGTCAGCATGTTAACATTTATAACAACTGTTATAACGGCTGAATGAAAGAAGGACGAGCGTCACAGTTTTATATGCTGCTCAGTCCTTTAACAGGAGTCAGAGACAAGCTGACACCTGTGGGAGGGGACAATGTTTTTACATCTCACCTGTTTAAACTGCTTGTTATTATTAGGGGCGTGGCCTTTTTGGTTGACACAGCTTCACCTGAACTGAACCTGTGGACTGTGTTTGTGCTGCTGGAGTCTTCTGGAGTATTTTAATGATCTGATCAATAACTGCTGTGAGGTCACTGTACTAACAGAGCGTCCAAGAAGGCGGAGCTCCAGTTTTGGTGCACAGCGAGATTCAGAGATTGAATGTTTAGACTCTGCAGGACATTCTTGTGTGGAAACAGTCGTAAACATCCTTACGGCATGCTGCCGGTGAAGTTGATGCCTGCCAGGTGCTCCGAGGCGGTGACGGCGTCTCCGAACACGGGGCCGTCAGCGGGCAAGAACTGGATGATGTTTGGCGGCATGCCGCACTCCCTGAGGATTTTATACACAGAGTAGCTGGCAGACATGGCGGTGTCACTCGGCTTCCAGAGGACGACGTTACCCTGGAAGACATGAAAACAGTCCACAGATCAGGGAGAGATCCTCCATCAGCCACAGCTGAAACAGGACAACTTTATTAAAAAGCGAATTAATAAATACAGCTGCTTCTATTAAGAGCAGTGTCATGCTGGTCTATTATAAACAAATCAATCACGCAGCATGGATGCACTTCTCCCCAGAAGGAGCGTGGCAGTCAGGTCCGTGAGCGGCGGCACTACGGGGAAATCGTCTGGCATCTTGGAGCTTTGGGAACCTTAAACCTGAATCTGACCTGTGGGAGGTGTCGGGCGCATCACCTGCAGCCTCGCACTGTCTGTTCATTAAAGTCAGAAGAGAACGTGGAGCCACCAGTGGGCTGCACACAGTGTGAGTTAAATTCACAGTCGAACATCAGACACTGAATCTCAGCTGGTTGGTGAAGTTGCAGAGCTGCAGAAACAGCTGACGTCGCGGGACGCTCGGCCGCGTCGCTCATAACGACCCCTCGCGCCGAGTCACGCCGAGTGGAGCCAAGTGCGCGGCGGTGAAAGAGGCTTTTGTGAGTCAGCTGACACGACCACACTCACCATCAGAGCCGGGGTGCCCGCCAGGTTTCCACCAATGGCAGTGAAGTTAAACGGAGCCACAGCAGCTACAAACCCCTGAAAGAAACAAAGACATGAGAGCGGTCAGCTGCAGCCGAGCTGAGGACGAAGCACCGCCTCACAGGTCCACCTGGTTACGTGTGACACGGGAGGCGTTCCACATGTCACGTGCCCCAGAGCGCCGTTTCCTTCCACTCACGGGTTCACAGAAAAAAAAAAGCACACGCAACAAGAAAACCATCATAATCATCGCCGTGACCAGCGCTTCACAGCAGGTCCAGCGCTGGACTACACAAAATCATCGCGCTTCCACTTATGGCGACAGCAGGAAGTGATGTCATGTTGTGCAGAGTAAAATGTGTTTCTGTTGTTGCTACAGCTAACTCTCAGCCTCCTTCATACACACGGCGCTTCTTCTCGAGTCATACTGAACACGTGGCTCGCTTTAACGAGCAGGTTGTTCCAAACCAACGCCACCACAGCGTGAGCATGTGACTCCGAGTTCACGGTCAAACAGAAACAGCTGACGGTCGAGCTGTGAATTCATCAATCGTCTGCTGACGTCAGCGTTGGGACATCCCGCGTCGGGTGGCCGGGTCTCCTATGCGAGGAAGTCATGATGTAACCTGATTTTTACCTCCAGGCCTCGGTACAGCAGCGTGTTGGTGCTTCCCTCTGCGTCCAGCGGCTGCTGCCGCTGCAGCTCGATGGCGTGTTTGGCATTAAACCTGAAGAAGTCGATGAGCTCCGCGGCGGCGTCGATCTCCGCCTGCACCACCGTCTTCCCCTGAACGCCCACAAACGAGACAACAAGGGAAACAACTGTAAGGACACGCCCCTCGTTAATCCGTCACCGCCCCCCGGCTCGCACCTACCGTACCTGTCCGATCATGGTCTTGGCCAGGATCTCGGCTCTCCTGGGTCCGCTGATGACGTCGGCGGCTTTGAAGATGATCTGAGCTCGGTCCTCGACGGGCTTCAGGTCCCACTCCTTCCTCGCCGCCACAGACGCCGCGATGGCTTTGTTGATGAGCTCCTGCACGGGACACAGAGGACATGACCAAAACATACTGACAACCAGGGTTTCTGCCCCGAGAGCACGGACGCTTCACGATTAGAGGGCAGGAGTCCCGTCACGCTGCACCTCCGTCACTCAGACCTGCGATGAGCTCACCTTGTCAGCGTAGCAGAACTTCGCCACCTTGTGTGAGTGATTGAAGGGCTGCAAGAGGAAAGGAGAGAGAGCGGTGACCCCTCAGCGTGCGCTAAAGGTAAACGTGACCAGACTGAGCGACCAGCGTTTCCTCACAGAGAGCTGGTATCTGATGTCTTTGGTCCACACGTGCTCGTCTCCCACCACACACGGGATCTCCTCCGTCCTCCCCTTCAGGCTCGCCAAGGCCTGCAGACACACAGCAGGGAGTAAGGAGTGAGAGGGGTGAGGGAGGGGTGAGGGAGGGGCGAAGGAGTGAGAAGAAGGAGAGGGTGAGGAGGAGCAGAGTGAGCTCAGACCTTCAGCAGCTCCACCCTCTCATGGCTGCCCTCTTTGAAGCTCAGGATCGGCTCATTCTTCACCTCCACAGCTGCACAGGGGAACGTCTTAAACCTGCAAACACACACACAGACACACACACACACAGACACACACACACACACATCAGGGTACATAAAACCAGCCTGGAGCAGCTGGATTTGAGCTGATCAAACTGGTCCCACTGGGAGGATGCTGGACTCCTGAACTGTGCAGCTAATCAGTAACCAAAGACACACACACACTCCTCGTACCTATGGTACGACAACTTTTCTCCGTGCCCCTGGTACACTGCGCAGAAAAACCTTGCCACACACACACACACACACACACACACACACACACACACACACACACACACACTCCTCTCTGCAGCTTTTCTGCTGTCACAGGGATGAGCTGACTGAAGGGAAGCCGTCTGTCAGGACCTCCATGTCTTCACGTCACAGCTTCTTCTTCTTCTCTGCGACCCCCTAATGTGTCGCCCCCCCCCCACATGTCAATCACACGCATCCTTCCTCCTATTGGTGGTTGCATCAGTTGCCGCGGTTTCCCGAGCGTCTCAGAGCACTGACATTACAGACTTACATGTTTCTCTGCTGGGTCTGTTGTTTATCTGTGCAGGTGTGCGTGAGAGGAAGATGAACCGAGGCCGTTGTAGAGCCGCGCTGTTTGCTGATGTTTCTCACGACCTGGTTATTCCAGCTGGATCCAGCTGAGCCGGATCGCTGCAGCGCCTCCTTCATCTATGATTAACCCGTCTGAACTCTGAGCAGAAGGTCGGCCAGCTGCTGTTTGCATTGGAGGAGGAGGCGGCGACACGCCAGCTGGCGGCATGTCGGGCATTCACACACACCCATGTGGCTCTGCGGCCCAAACGATGACAGCAAAATGAATCTGAGCCCGTTCAGTGAAAATCATGCGAAACGCAGTGGATGACCTTAACGAGCAGGTAATCCCGTGTAGCAGTACCTTAACGTTAACAAGCAGCTCTTCTGATTTTGATTAACACACGTGGCGTTCGTGTGGTACGTATGTCAGGTTGAACTTCAGAACTGACCTTAATGTAAAGACTCAGGATTGCCACATACAGAGGTTACCCAGGCGAGGCTACAGATTCACCTGGAGCTCAAATATCATCATTTCACTCAGACAGGACAACAAAACCATCCATAATTCAGAATCCTCATCGCTCCTATTTTGAAAGCTCTGTTGCTACTTAATTGCACTGTAAACCCAGAGTCATCGACACCCCTGAAACTCCCCGTTTTAACGGCCCACATAAGGCCGGTGTGATCTGAAGAGAGCCCGCGGTGCCACGTGTGCTTTTAATGTAAATGACTGACTGTACAGGTGAACGTGTCATTACACGTGCACTGCAGGCCACGCCATAAAACCAGGCGGTGAAGGCAGCATGACATCGATACTCCAAAGCTTCCAAGGTGCATTTTCCTTGAACCACTGCTTCAGTGTGGAAAATCACATGTGACCAATGAGGTCCCCTGAATAAATCACATGATTGGTCGAAACCGTCGATAACGCTTTGTATTGCCTCAGTGCCGTGTGAATGTGCGTTTTTGAAAGCTGGAGACATTTTCAACAAGAAAAGAAACAAAAACAGTGGAAAATGATTGTTTGTCATTAAAATCTCGATCCCATGGAAACAACCACACCATCCCTCACATCCTCCGTTTCCCCGGCACGCCTTCTTCAAACTACTACATAACAGCAGTTTACAGAATCCACAGACCATCCATCTTTGCAAAATTGTGTTTCATCGTCCACGCAGACCTTCATTACACTCAGCACCATTAGTTCAACATTGTTACGCTGTCTCCTTTTTCACCACTAGATGTCACTGAAACGACGCTTTGCATGAATGAACCGATTTTCAGTACAGTTGGTGAAATGGTTCATTGCTGGTTCATTGCTTTATTTGCGCAGCACTACACGGCTGAAGGGTTTCTTCCTGTTCCCACTGCCACCAAGTGCTTGCTCATAGGGGTCATCTGATTGTTTCCCTGTGTTATTCACCTCACGTTATAAAGCTCCTTGAGATGACTGTTGCTGTGATTACTGTACAAATAAAACTGAATTGAATTTAGGTATTTTTCCACGCCCTCCGGCCTGGACTGGTCCCTTTGGTTGTGGCTCCTGGAACCAGCTGTTTGACACCAAGTTTACTCACTGACTTCTTTATCAAATGTTTGTAAGATATCTTGTTTGTTTTCATCTGAGCCTCTCGGGTAAACACACCTTTCAGGTAAATGGCGTAATAAAATGTATTCTTAAAGATCTTCCGGGATTAATGGAGTGGTACCCAGATGGCACCACCGGAGGTGCGAAAGGTAACTGTTGCCCTATCATATATGTATGTGCTCTTAATCTGAAAGGTATAAATACGGAAGTGTGTGAGGAAGGCGTGTGCCTCTGAAGTAAAACTCTAACAACGTGTATGTGGTTTATTCCTCCATGAGATGTGCGAGTTACCACGGTATTTCTGCCCTAGAGAATGGAACATCCAACAGTAACAATGTCTAGCAGGTGTCTTCTTACATGTGCTCCCTTCCATTTCCCTGAATGTGTTGGATTATGAAAGTAGTATTAAACGTACAGTACTTGAGTAAAAGTACTTGGTTCAAGTTTGTGTGCAGTCAGTTCAGGCAGCAGCTGCCGGTCAGGTGCCATTACATAACCTGTAAACCTGTCACAAGCGACCCACTGGACCGTTACCGCTCCACACGACCAGCCTGGACCTCCACGCATGATCCGTCCCGTTACAGCATCGGTTATCGATCAGGTTATCGGAGTCGGAGGCCCTGAGGAGGCTAATTAGCTAAATGACATGCTGCAGAACTCAAGGAGTCTCGTGCGGGAGACATGCGCAGACCTACCCCCTCCAGGACCGACACACGGCCGCCCTCACGTGGAGCATCTTCCCGCCACAGGCCGCTGATTCACGCTGAAGGAAAAAGCCTATAGACCCGCTAGCAGAGCCGATCTGGCCGGAGAATGGATCAATAAACGATCGGAATCAACTTTCAGGTAACACCGACCCCCCCTCGTCGACTACACACACATCCCAACTCACTGCGACCGGGAAGGGGACACTGGTTTACTTATATCGTTCAAGTGCTTCACGCTGTCGCTACGCATTGGTGACATAACTCTACTTTACTAACGTGTCACTATAAAACCACTCTTAATCTCTCAGATTGGACTAAAGAAGAGCAAATATGTTTACAAACCTTCAGGAATCATAGATCCCCCCTCCCCACTACCTACGATGGAACCTTCCACAGGCGAATCTGCCATTGGCTACTCAGTAACCAATAAAAACAGGGTTAGGGTTAGGGTTAAAACAGGTCAGCCAATCAGAGGCCATATTCCAGGGGTCGGAACGAGGCTCCATATTTAACAATGTTCTTGATCTTTCGGTCAAGTCTGCAGTGTCTCTCTGATAATTTATTTGATTGTATTTCATATTTAATATTTTTTTTATTTTATAGATACTTTTGCGCTTCATTATTAAAATTGAATTGTATAGTATTAACTTAAATTAAACAGAAATTGTATTTTTTTAAGTTAAGTATACAACTCAACATGTGTTCTGTATTTTAAATAAATCACATGCACATTAAAGTGGCCTCTTTCATGGCTGTCCTGTTCATATTTGTGTTGGGCTGGCTCCAGTCCCGAGGTTCACTGGACTTGTGAAACCAGGAGGGGCAGGTGGATTATCTTTCCGAGAAGAGCTGCTGAAAATAATCAAATACTTTATTCTGATTCTGACTAAATGGTGGCCATGAACGATGGCTAAGTTATGAGAGCCAAAGATGAAGCACGTTGGCTCTCTGAAGTCATGCTGTCATTTACGTCATGAAAACGTTTATTTAATCCTGCTGTCATCTGCGTGAACTGCAGTCAGTAATGACACAGAAGGACCACAAGATGGAGACATAAACCTCTGACTGAACTCAAGACGAGACGAGATCTTTTATTATCCACAGGTTCTCAGGTGGAGTCTCTTGAAGTAAAGCCAGGTGTGCCCTCTGAACATTATTACTGCATATGCACAAAAACAATGCTTTGATTTGAAAGGTTCAGAGAGAGTTTAATGACTCCATCAGTTATAATTTCTGACCAGTTTAACCAACTAATGATTATTCTTATATTTTCATATTCATATCTTCCTAAATGTTCTTGTCTCACAGTTTTCAGCCTACCACAGAGTCACAGTATATTTTAACGTGTGTTTGATGCTGCATGTAAGACTGTTTTAAATTTATCTGTGAACTGCTGCTAGCATTTATATTTAAAGCTCATAATACATAATATTATATATGTAATAATATTTAAAAACGTTAATTTAACTTTTTAATTGTATTTGTATTTAATTGTGTTTTGATCAGCCATAAACTAACGACGACACACCTACACACACACACACACACACATATTTCTGCCTTCGCGTTTTTTCGTCTTTGCCCTTCTTGTCCCAGTCTGCCCTCCGTACCGTGAGAGGCGTTAACAGCAGATAAGACTCCGGTGTTGTTGTGAAGATTAGGTTCTTATCGCCGATATCCAGCGGCTCAATTCACAACTATCAGCCGGACTACCAGAGCTAGCGGCGGCTACAGCGGAGCAGCGGCCCGTCCGAGCAGCCGGAGGCGGTGAGTGTCGCTGTCATTAGCCGCTAGCTGTTAGCCTGCTACCAGCTGTGTGACATGTAACTGCCTACAGCCGAGCGATGCTCGACTGATGTGTCCAGTGATTACCTCGACACTCAGCCCCCAAAGTCCCGCCGACAGGGTTATAACGGACCGGTCTGCCGAGCCTCAGTGCTCCGGTGAGCTAACGGGGGTCAGGGGGCATGCTAACAGCCGAGCTAGCTGTGCTTCATCATTGCTCAGGGCTACCCCGAGACTACACTTCATCATCAGCTGTATGTAGCAAGGTGATAAAAGTACATAATATTAGACCTAGGAGAGGGTAATCGCAGTGTATCAGTTACATACAGTTAAAGTAAATCCAGCATGATTAAATTCTTTAGGCAGTAAAAGTACACAGGTAGGATTGGGGCAAAGTAGTAAAAGTACACGGTAATGACTCAGAGAGGGCAGGAGATGTTTATGTCAGGTGCCAGGCGCTCTCCTGAACATGTGGCTGCTGTTTGTGACACAGCTGCCTTGCCCTGTGCTGTGATTGGACACGACGATGGTGGTGGTGTTTACAGGTGTGTCTCTGGCAGCAGTGTGTGGGTCAGGTGGCTCCAGTCAGACACCATGAGTTCTAAGGGAGGCGGCACCGCTCTGACCCGCCGTAACTACAGGCTGGCGTCAGACATGGACAAGCCGAGATCCACAGGTATGAATGCTCAGTCACTTCAGCACGTACCCACCACTCCTGCCCTCCAATTGGTCTGTCTGAGTCAGCTGTCCCTCTGCCAGGTATCGTGAACGAGAAGATGCTGAGCGACTACCTACACCATGTGTTTCCCTCCACCAAACAGGGACCCACACTGGCCTCGCTCAGGTAAGCTCATGCTGTGACACCCCCCCCCCTCTGATGCACATCTCTGAGCAGGTAAGAGGCGAGACCACCATCAGGTTCAGTTTTTACAGCTCTAAACACAAACTGAACACAAACTGATTTTGTTTCTATTTTAAATGTGCGAGGCTGTAAAACTGAAACCAGACGCAGGAATGAGGCCGACGGTCACAGCTGCTGCTTACTCTGAGTGTGTGCACGTGTGTGCGCGTGTGTGCGTGTGTGTGTGTGTGTGTGTGCACACGTGTGCGTGTGTGCACACGTGTGCGCGTGTGTGTGTGTGTGCGCGCGCGCGTGTGCGCACGTGTGTGTGTGTATGTGTGTGTGTGCACGTGTGTCCTGAGTTCCTGTTTAGTGACTCAGAGCCTCGTTATTTAAGCCGGCCAGGTTCATGTTACCTTCAGCAGCTTTAAACACACACACACACACACACACACACACACACACACACACACACACACACACACACTCGGATACAATTCATGAAATCTAAAAACAAACATCAACGTTTTAATCATGTAAAACTTTTTTCATTTGTTTTTTAACTGTAAATTTTCATTTTGTTCATTTTTAACCTTATTTTTCTATATTTCTTTCCTGTTTAATAATCTGCAAAAATGAACTTTGGGTGTGTGTTTATAAATAGTCAGATTGTTTTGTTTTTTTAAACATATTTTTTATATAACACATTTTAAAATGTAACCAGTTTCTTTTTGGTGATTTCTTATTTCTGTGATTGTCTCTGGTGAAAAAATCTGATTTATTGTAGACGTAGTTTTGACTTTAAGTCCGATTCTTTTTCTATCTAACTTTTTGTTTTTATTCTGTTTTTGAATCTTGGTTCATGCTGTAGGAAGATTTTTTTTTTATAGTCGTGGACTTCTTTGACTTTTATGTTTCAGGGGTTTTTTTTTAGGATGTAGTTCTTTCTCTTGTCTTTTTTACAAACTGTTGTACTTCCCAAAATAGTTTTTTAATAATTGTTATTTTTCTTTTTTTTGATAAATATTTGTTGGGTTTGTTTCTAACTGAATGACTGTGCTGTGATTACCTGATGTGAGAGTCGTGTGCTGGTGTTTTTCTGTGTAACGAGTCTGGTCTCTGTGTCAGTGAACGAAGTTTAAATGGAAAAATCAGACTGAGCTGAAAGGAGGAAACGATAATGAACAACTCTGAGAATAAAATCTTTTCTGTCCCTTTGTCGTCTTTTCCTGCCGCTCTGGGTTTCAGGAAGCCTCTGGGCTTCCAGGATCTACCTGCTCACCTGGAGAAGCTGCTGTCTGAGGACACGCCTACGGAGGACGGTAAGGCTGGAAGCGTCTGTCTGCCTTTAAAACCAAACCTTATGTTCTGTGACTCAGAACGAGCTCAAATGTCTGATAACACCGTCACCTGAACCTGTGCAGGTCAGGCTGTGGACGGTCGTCTGGGTCCTCAGCCCGTTGTCCTCGATCACACCAGCGGCTTTGAAGGACTCCTGTTTGTAGACGACGACCTGCTGGGGGTGAGACACGCCGGAGACCATAAACCAGTGAAACCAGTCAAAGTTTGGACACGTGGCTGATGTTTGTCCAGACTTTTGATTGGTACTGTAGAAAAACACTTCCTATGTGTGATAAGTGTGTAAGGGTGATGAATTTCTCTGCATTCAGGTCATCGGCCACAGCAACTTCAGCTCCATCCGAGCGACCACCTGTGTTTATAAAGGTACGTTGTCTCAGAAAAAGCTTTGACTTTTGGGTTTGTGCTGAACTGACTCAGTAAATATGACACACAACAAAAATGAGCCCTGAAACAAAAAACTGTCACAGGAAGTGTGACCTTCTCTGCAGATGGGCTTGCTTTTCACAATAAAAGTCCAGTTTAGAAAGGTCGTCTGATCTGGTTTTCCTGTATTATTGTCGACCTTCCAATATAAAGCACCCTGAGGCGACTGTTGTGATGTGGAGAATGATTTTGGGCTGTTTCTGTCTGCAGGGAAGTGGGCCTACGAGGTGCTGATCTCCTCTCAGGGTCTGATGCAGATAGGCTGGTGTACCCTTAGCTGTCGCTTCAATCAGGAGGTATACACACACCTTGATGATGAACCCTGTAAAGGCCTTGACACGGCGCATGTTGTGAGGGAAAACAAAACATGAAACTCGACTGGGAACTGGTCAGAGCTGTTATAAATAAATGCTGCAGGTTCATCCTGCAGAAGTACGCAGTGAGCGTCAATGGCTCCATTAAGACTGCAGACATGAACCCGGGGGCTCAATCGTGAGCCGCATGGAAAACTGGGACAGCTGTGAAGGACTGACTTTCTTCTTGTTTCTCAATATTGTTGTTATGAAGGAGGAAATGATCTATACACACCAAACAGTTTGTGTATCAGGATTTAAACCTTTTTATTTCCGCTGCAAAGTTTTAATGCGAGTCTGTGTGGACTCACTGCTGGAGCTTCTGCTGGACGTCAGAGGAACTGCAGGATGTGGAGGTTGATGCTTGATTAAAGCACAAAGTTGACTGTTACGCCTACATTAATGTTGCGTGTCAAAAACGTTGGAATATTTGTTGGTAAATTTAAAAAAGAAGTAATTGAAGCTGGATATTTGCTTCAATCAAAGAGCTAAATCGAGTTTTCTGTGGCTGGTGTCTGAGGGCGTCCATTAAAAACTGTCTGTTTTTCACCTCTGCTGCATCCGTTCCCATGAAGGATGGCGGCACGGCGATGCTGAACAGTGTGTTCTTGTGCTCAGGAGGGTGTAGGTGACACGCCGGACTCGTACGCTTACGACGGAAACAGAGTGAGAAAGTGGAACGTGACGACGACAAACTACGGAAAGGTGAGCGTGAACACAGACGCTGGGATCTGCCCCTCTGTTTCATCATGTGACCATAACGGCGTGTTTTCTCTCCCCAGTCGTGGGCAGCAGGAGACATCGTGAGCTGTCTGATAGACCTGGATGAAGGAACCATCACGTTCTGCCTGTGAGTCCCTCTGTCCTTTCCTTCCCTCCTTTCCTCCGTTTGGTCGTCTTTTTACATCTTTGGTTCAAACCGAGAACTTCTGATCATCAACATATCAGGATGGCTTTCTGTCCTTCACTTATCCTAACGTCAGCCCGGAGTTTATCAGGCTAGCTGTCAGCATGAGCCCGTGACAGAGGCGGAGTTTGGAGCAAGTGACCAATCAGAAAAACAGACAGGTTTCTTGATAGCAGAGCAGCTGACTTTACAAAAAAAGATAAAACTGTAATTTTGAGAAAATGTGACGACAGAGTAGACTAGAAGCAACATCTGTGAAACATCTGTAGCGTATGTTAGGTATACATAATGATTGTCACACTTAAATGTTTCAGAACATCAAACAAATGTAAATGTTAGACAAACTCGAGTAAACACAAAATGCAGTTTCTAAATGAAACTGTTTGTTATTAAGGAGTAAAAAGGTGAAACCAAAGCTGACCAAAAACAACACAGTCTAGCCTCAAACATCTCGATGATCCCGAAGACTTCTGGGAAAATACTCTGGGCTGATGAGACAAAAGTTGAACTTTTTGGAAAGTTTGAGCCTCTGTGGCGTAAAAGTAGCAGCATCTCAGGAAAGGAACATGATACCAGCTGTAGGGTATGGTGGTGGTAGTGAGACGGTCTGGGGCTGTGTCGCTGCCTCAGGACCTGAAGACATCTACTAAAACCTCCTGAAGGAGAATGTCTGGACATGTGTTCATGACTTGGCTTCTGCAGCAGGACAACGATCCAGAACACGGCAGCAAGTCCACCTCTGACTGGCTTTAGAAAAACTAAAGGTTTTGGGCTAGTGGAGTGGGCTAGTCGAAGTCATGACCTGAGTCAGACTGAGATGTTGTGGCATGACCCTAAAAAGGCAGTTCATGCTCAATCTAGGGGTGGGCAGTATAAACGGTATAAATTTGGCCAACGGTAGAGATTTTGACTATACCGCTATAGCGCATGTTGATGGTGTCATCAAGCTGCGCCTGTTTTGGTCGAAAGCATCGCAGCGGCTGCAAACATCATCTGCAATGTTTATGCCGGGCGACAGTCATAGCAAAGAAACGAAGCACTTTTGGAAGATGGGGAAAGCCAAAACCTGCGCTTCCTCCACTTCTGTACCATTAATTCATTAATGTTGAATTCTCTCCAGCTGCTCTGTTCCCATGTTGTTGCAGTATATGAATGACTAACCTGGTATTGTGGATGGATTATCTCAGTTGTTCTCCTGACTGAAGTTTGGTCCGTTTACAGCATCCTGCCATGCGATTGCATTTGTCTCTAACCATCAGGAACCCTCATGTTAACTATTATCGAAAGTTAGCGTTCATCCTCCAGCTTCACTGTGTTTATGCTATGCTAACATAGCTGTGTCGCTAGCAATCACGTAGCACATCATTATATACCAGCTAGCCCAACTTCAGTAACCCTACAAACATCACTGCTGTTTAGTTTTCTGTCTTCATTTATGTTGGAAGTGATAGCAGAGCTGTACGTTTGAATGCATGTAACAGGCATCTCCGAAAACGTGAGAGCACTTTTGCAAATATGTGATGTCTTGATGAACCGAGCAGATATTAGAAGTTTACACAGAAACATTCTCGCATGAAAATATCTTAAAAGTTTATTTTGTGACCCAGAAAGAGTAATATTTCAAACTCCGCCCCTCTGTGTTCCTCCGCCACTGCCTCGTTTGAGTTTTGGATGAAATGGATTCTGGGATATTGCATTTTGTCATTTCGAGCTGATTGGAGACCAGAACAGCCAATCAGATTTTTTTGCGTCCAATCTGTGATTGGCTGGTTTTGTGGCACAAATATAACGGTGTAGAGAAAGAGTTGAGCGCGCGCGGGCAGAAATGTTGCGAGGAAGCGCAAATGCAAAAACTGAGCGAGAGGGGCTGCTGTGTGTGTGTGTGTGAGAGAGAGACTGTGTGTGTGTGTGTGTGTGTGTGTGGATAATAGCAAACACTGAAATACAGTTTTTGCACGCAGGAATGAGTTTTGTTCACTCAAATTCAGCTTTTCTTTGCACCAAATAAATTTCTCGTCAAAATGCAACACTTGCACCTGTGTGCCTAATAGTGAGTAATATACGTTATACAGAAGAAAAGAATATATCGCGATATATATCGTTACTGCACATGCTTCAAATTATGCCGTGATATGGATTCTAGGCCATATCGCCCAGCCCTAGCTCAAACCCTCCAACAATTCTGACGGTTGGGCCAGAATCCCTCCACAGCTGGAAAAGACTCACTGACGGTTATCACAGATGCTTGAAGGCAGTTGTTGTTGCTAAGGCGCACCCAGCCAGTTATTAGGTTTAGGCACGTTTCCTTTGATAAACCTTTCAGGGAGTTTTTTGGGTAAATCATTCTGATTTCTGGCCGTCACAGATGAGACTGTACATGTTGGTCTGCAGACTGAATCAAAAGGTTTTAAGCTGTCAGTGACTCCGTTTGTGGTTGAAGTCTTCTCTGATGTGTCCTCATTGTTTAGTAAAGCACTGAGCGTGTCCTCTGTGTCCTCAGGAACGGCCAGTCTTTGGGGACGGCCTTCACCAACATTAAGATGGGTCCTGGCATCGCTTACTTTCCCGCCATCAGCCTCTCCTTTAAAGAGTCAGTGGCTTTCAACTTCGGCAGCAGGCCCCTCAGATATCCTTCACAACTAATCGCAAAGTGTCCAGAAGCCCTGCCGGCAGGTGTTAGCGCCACTCCCCTGGGAGCTATCAGGGCCGTACGTTTGCATGGTGGAGTCATGGACGGCACAGAGAAGCTTCTACAGGCGTAGGATTTCAAACTGAGCTCTTTTTAACTAAGCTGGTCCCATTGTATTTTTTCAGCATCCATCTGAAAAATGCTGTTTGGCTTTATGGGTTTGTACAACTCTTTTGCTGTGAAAGATTTCCCTGGAACATCTGTAAGTGGAGAGTCCTCTTCACACACTGAGGTTAATTATGGAGTTCCACAGGGTTCAGTGCTAGGACCAATTCTGTTTACATTATACATGCTTCCCTTAGGCAGCATCATTAGAAGACATAGCATACATTTACACTGCTATGCAGATGACACCCAGCTCTCTGTCCATGAAGCCAGATAACACACACCAATGAGTTGAATTCGATTGGATAAATGCTGCTGTGGTGTCGTGAGTTTGTCTTTAACCCGACTGTGACCCACGTACCCCGTGGACGGCTACCTGCCCCTCCAGAACCCTCCAGCTGCAGACCTGATGAAGGCCCACAAACTGCTGGGCTACATCAAGAACGTCCTGTCCACCGCCATCGACGCTCAGGTAGGAACACGAGCAGGTGAAAATGGCATTGCCTGTCTTCAGCCTGGTGTTTGGTTGACGTGCAGGTAAAGTGAAAGGTGCGTCCTTTGTCTGTCCTTTACTGCTGCAGGAGGAGAGGCTGGTGGAGAAGGACTGCGCTGTGTGGAGGCTTCACGGAGAGCCGACCGTCCTCGTCACTCTGGCTCACATCTTTAACCACTTTGCTCAACTCATGGTGAAATATGCTGTGTTTGTAGCTTTTTTCCTTTATTGCATGAAGCGTCAGGAAACTGAAAACCACCCAAAGATACCGATGTGAGGCTAACAGGGCGTGTTCAGAGATCGCTAAAACTGACCGCTGCTCTGTTATTAACTGAATAATCAAAGTGCTTAAACAGCGCTGTGGTTAAAACGAGGCTGCTCCTGTCGTCCGTGTTTCTGGATGAGGACTTTTCCACCAGAGTCTGTTTTTAGAGTTCGTTTTTATTATCAGACGTTGTCACTCGTATTTAAATACACGGAGAAGAGACGACAGGGAAAAGCATAAACTACGTCGGCTCGCTTCCTGTCGTGGTTCATACGAAGCATAAAGTTTCTAATAATGAGCTGAGTGTCACTCAGACTGTTTCTCATGATCCTGCTGTGAGGCTGAGACACAACAAACAGAAGCAGATTATTCAGCTGGATTTTATATCCAGCATCAGAGCTGTAACTGTAAAGTTTAAAAGAACAGACTGCATGCAGCCACATGAACTGAAGCAAACTGGAGATGGCCTTTGTTTTAGTTCCCAGACTTCTCGTGCACCGTGCTCTGCAGCTGATTAAATCCATCCACAGTGGAAACTAAATCCTCTGTTTGGGGCGCTGTTTGTGCAGGCGATGCGTTTGAATGGATGAAATCACCTCTGTCTGAAAATGTGATGTCATCAGGTCACGTGCACTGATGGTGGGGTTGTCTGGTTGCAGTGTAAGGTGTATCTGGTGGAGGACGTGCTGATGAACTTCCTGCTGGGGATTCTGGAGGGAGGAGGTTCGGTGGACGAACACCCGCTCATCCAGCAGCTGCTCGACCTCTTCTGGCTGCTGATGGAGGTAAATCTGCACGCTCGGCTCACTGCCACCGCAGGCCTAAACCCAAAAACTGGACTGTGCGTCCACAGGGTAACTGCAAACATGCACAGAAATACAAGACGTGTAAACAGAAGAAGCAGGACGCGCTCAGGTTCAGGGACGTCATTTAAAGTTGCTGCATTTATACCTGGCCTTGTGGACCGTCACCTTAACACCTGTTTACCTCATTGTTGCAGCTCCGCCTCGTGTCCGACTGTACAGGTGCGTTTTCATCATGACTTCCTGTTTCGAGCTAAAGTCACACAAAAACATGAAACGCAGGTTTTTACTGTGAAAACCACGAACGTAACAAATCATTTAAAAATGTTACATTTCCAGAACGGTCTGATCAGCTGGTTGCTGTTGATGATCTGTGGTAAAGCTCCACTTCGGTTATTAAAAGCACGCATCACGACCTTTAGAATACCTTTTGACGAGGGTCGGTGTACGCGCACACCTGTCCGTCCAGGTGTTTCTTTCCTGAGACAGTTTCATGTTTTCTTCAGTGCGAACTCCCCCGCCTTCCATTTTACTGTGTCCGTTCATCAAGCAGCTCGGATTGATGCGGCCGCACAAACACTCGATCAGCATCTTTTATTTATTCCTGTTGTGTCAGCCAATGAGGAGAAAGCTTCATCACCTGCAGGTTGGGCTGAAAGCTCCTCTTGGTTAGTGACCTCAAAAAGAGGGAGACGCATCCTGCTGTACACCATCTCCTCACAGGAGGCGGCCCTGGGTTTGCATCGCCCCGTCATGTGTCCAAAACTCAAGATGGTTTTTTCTTTTTTATGGTCCGTCGACCCACTTTCAGGCCTTTTTGCCTTTTTCACGAATAGTTCACAAACCTTTAAAGACAACAGGCTGAAATTTTCTTCATATCAAGATGAATCTGTAACTTGGGACAGATGCATAAAAACATCTTAGAGTGGATGCTCTCCTGCAGAGTTCCACATCTGAGGATACATGAATAAAAACTAATGACGGCATGGATGACGTGTGGTTGTTAAAAGGTTAATTCAACTTTCATGTTGCTCCACAGAAACAAAAACATCAGCACTTTGTTCAATAATAGCAAGTTAATAATAATACAATGTTCTGGAGTATTGCACAGTACTTTCACCTCCTGTAGGAAGCGTCGGAGCTGCCCAGGACACCACCTCCAGGAGGCCAGCGCCTCAGCTGCCTCCCTTCAATGTGGAGACATAGCTGCTCCACTCAGGGCGCCTCCTGAATGGCTGAGCTCCGCCCTGTCCCGCTAAGGGGAGCCCGGCTGTCAAACAAAGCTCATCTCCACTGTGAGCTTGAAGGGTTGCTCCATCTTGGGGTATTAAGGTTCAATTAAAATGTTAACGGTTGGGTTAAATGAGTAGTGACCATAGCAACGTCGACTGGTCACACACGTCCGTGTGGGTGTTTCTGCTCCAACCGCTGCCTCTGAGGCAGAAACCCTGTGAATGTTTCGAGCACGTGTAGTGCCGACAGTTCATGCTGAGCTCCTAAATAAAAGTGACAGCATGCTGAACATGTGTACAGATCTCCTAATAGCTGATGGTTGGTTTATTTACCGCCTCACGGTGGCACCCAGACTCCACAGAGGAGGACCCGGAGGTTCAAACAAGGAGGCGACGGTTAAAAGCACTCGTTTAAATTGGTGATATTTACTGTAGAGCGTCTGCATCAGGATGTTTTTCTGGAGTACCACAGCCTGAAACCTCTCTGTCCTCTGCTGTCCTCTGTGTCCATCTGCTGTCCTCTGCGTCCATCTGCTGTCCTCTGCATCCATCTGCTGTCCTCTGCGTCCTCTCTGTCCTCTGCTGTCCTCTGCGTCCTCTCTGTCCTCTGCTGTCCTCTGTGTCCTCTCTGTCCTCTCTGTCCATCTGCTGTCCTCTCTGTCCATCTGCTGTCCTCTGCGTCCATCTGCTGTCCTCTGCGTCCATCTGCTGTCCTCTGCTGTCCTCTGCGTCCTCTGCTGTCCTCTGCTGTCCTCTGCGTCCTCTGCTGTCCTCTGCGTCCTCTCTGTCCTCTGCGTCCTCTCTGTCCTCTGCGTCCTCTCTGTCCTCTGCGTCCTCTCTGTCCTCTGCGTCCTCTTTGTCCTCTCTGTCCTCTGCGTCCTCTCTGTCCTCTCTGTCCTCTGCGTCCTCTCTGTCCTCTCTGTCCTCTCTGTCCTCTGCGTCCTCTCTGTCCTCTGCGTTCATCTGCTGTCCTCTCTGTCCTCTGCGTTCATCTGCTGTCCTCTCTGTCCTCTGCGTCCTCTTTGTCCTCTCTGTCCTCTGCGTCCTCTTTGTCCTCTCTGTCCTCTGCGTCCTCTTTGTCCTCTCTGTCCTCTGCGTCCTCTTTGTCCTCTCTGTCCTCTGCGTCCTCTTTGTCCTCTTTGTCCTCTGCGTTCATCCATCTGCTGTCCTCTGTCCTCTGCGTCCTCTGTCCTCTGCGTCCTCTGTCCTCTGTTTGCAGGACCACGAGGTGAACGAGTGTCTGAAGCAACTCATGATGTCCTTACTCAGGGCCTACCGCTTCTCCCCCATCATCCCAGACTTGGGCTTCCAGGTAGGACAAACAAACAGAGCCCCACAGGTTATATAAGGTCAGGGGGCGGGGCCTGCAGAGCGACCTCACTGACACAGGAGGTTCATCTTCAGAGACCAAACTTTAAATGTTTGTGTGCAGGTGGCGACAAACTTCATCTAAAATCTTTTTTTTTTTCATGTCACGTGTTTCCAGATGTTCTCCAGCTGATGTGCTTGTGTTTCAGATCCACTACCTGCGGCTGACCACGGCCATCCTGCGCCACGAGAAATCCAGGAAGTACCTGCTCAGCAACGTCTTATATCCTTCAGCCGCCAAGCGAAAGCGCTCTGTGACATTTAAACCGCTGTCGCGGCATTCTCCTTAACCGAAGCTCACGTTCGACGTTCTGCGCTCGGTTGTGTTCTTTTACATCAAGACTCCTCTGAGGGTGAAGGAGGCGGGGCTAGAGGAGCTCATCCCAACCACCTGGTGGCCCACGCACTTTGACAAAGAGGTGAGAAAAACCGAGGCTCTGCCGTTTGCGTCTCCTCGCTCCTGACGAAATGTTATCGAGTGTGTCAAAGTCATTAAGCTGAAAGCAGCGAAGCTCAAACAGAGAGAGGCCGTTTACCTCTGTGACGTGCGCAACGACAAATCAGATGTGACGTAAGAACTGACCGTGACAGACGAACCGCAGGCTCCTCAGGGGAAGGCTGCAGCCATCAGGTGTTTACAGCAGCACAGGTGTGAGAGCTTTAAACAATGCTTCTTTATCAAACAGGGTAAAGACGAGCGCGAGCCCAAAGACGAGAGCGCCGACGAGCGTCTGAGGCGCCGAGCCTACGAGAGAGGCTGCCAGAGGCTGAAGAAGAGGATCGAAGGTCGGTCTCCGTCACTCGGCCGTGTTCTGTTTTAGTACTTTACTGTTTTATTTTGGTGTTTCACTGAGTTCCTGTCTTTGAGACCACCCACCTGTCTGCTTACCTGGACTGTCTGTGTGCGCTCCTCTGACCTCTGACCTCTGTTCTCCTGCAGTGGTGGAGGAGTTGCAGGTTCAGATCCTGAGGCTGCTGCTCAACAACAAGGACAAGAGCACGGTGGGTGCAGCGCCGTGATGTGTTGGTGATGGCGACCGCGGTCAGGACGCTGCTCTGATGTTTGCGGTGGCGAGACGTTTCAGCGTCGGTGTTTCTGTCGGGTGGAGGTTCAGGTGTTCGGCTCAGATCAGATACCTCAGCTGTGCCGGCTCTCCTGCAGCACCGTAGCACGTATCCAAGCAACTGCCAACGAATTCACGGAGCGAGCGCTCGAAGCGATAACGGCCCGGGCTCGGAGTCGCTTTGCTTTAAGCATTTATTTTAAACCAAATCACGTAACCGGGAGGAAACGGCACCTCGGCGTGAAGGCGACGACCAACCGTGCTATTCACCCCGCTGCTCTTTCGTTCCTGTAACTGTAAGATCATCAGGAAACACGTTGTATCATAGACCCATTTTTAGTTTTTTCTTGATGGTGATTTAAAGAAAGTCTTTTCAGTCACAGACACGAGAGCCTTTTTAGGTTTTAGCAGCGAACCCGTCAAACTCACTGATCCGCGGTTTCCCTCGGTGCGAGTTGGATCGCTGCACTTTGAAACCACGACTCTGACGCACTAAAGAACTTTAAGGTCTGTGTGTCTAACAGCAGCTTTTATTCCTATCCTGCTCAGAGACCAAACGGATGATCGTGCAGTATTCCCCGTTTATCCAAAAACAGATCCAGGGTCTGCCTGTTCTCAGTTTTTACTCTCCGTGTCGTCCTCGGATGCTTCGGCCTGACGTGAACGTTGGCGTCCTCCCCGAGTAACACTCGGTCTGATCAGACTGAGGGTTGGACTGCAGCAATCGCTTCTCCTGTTTCAAACTGCAGTGAAGAGAAAAACTGAGCTCTGCTCCTCTTTCAGGGAGAAGCATCGCGCTACATTTTCCTCAACAAGTTCAGGAAGTTCCTCCAGGAAAACGCCAGCAACAGAGGGGTAAGGAGCAGCGAGGAACGCCACCCTCTCACGTCATGTCAGTGTTTCCACAGGTCAGTTTGTTCCTGTCTGTGAGCGACGCAGACAAACTGAAACCACAGGTTTGATTTCATGGAGACGTGTTTTTATCAGTACGCTCTAATCACGGGTAAAGCCTCACGTGTGTGTTTGCACATGCGTGCACTCTGTGTGTTTGAGCAGCACCCCACGGCTCTGTGTCCGCCTGAGTACATGGTGTGTTTCCTGCACCGCCTCATCACAGCGGTCAGAGGCTGCTGGGACGAAGGACACCGCAAGAGTCCGAGCAGCGTGAGCAGCGACGGTACGACACACTGAGCCACACAGTGTGTGTGTGTGTGCGTGCGAGTGTGCGTGCGTGCGTGTGTGTGCGTGCGAGTGTGCGTGCGTGCGAGTGTGCGTGCGTGCGAGTGTGCGTGCGTGCGAGTGTGCGTGCGTGCGAGTGTGTGTGCGTGCGCGCGAGTGTGTGTGTGTGCGAGTGTGCGCGCGAGTGTGTGTGTGTGCGCGCGAGTGTGTGCGCCCGTGCGAGACCTGCAGTGGAGCAGAAGCTTCCACTGCAGGTCTCACTCATGAGTCTTGAAATTACCTGTATGCATATTCCACCAACGGCAAGGTAATTTCAAGACTCATGAGTGAGACCTGCAGTGGAAGCTTCTGCTCCACTGCAGGTCTCGCACGGGCGCGCGCGCACACACACACACACACACACACACACACACACACACGCACACACGCACGGGCACACACACACACACACACACGCGCATGCGCGTGCGTGTGTGTGTGTGTGCGCCCGTGCGTGTGTGCGTCTTCCCTCAGTGATGTGCTTCTGTACCCCTCACAGAGGCCTACGTCCCTCCTCAGTTGTTCTATAACGGGAAGGTGGACTACTTCGACCTGCAGAGGCTGGGCGGGCTGCTGTCCCACCTGAAGAAAACCCTGAAAGGTAAGGTGTGCTCCTGGTGGGCGTGGCCCTGGGAGGCGTGCTCGTGGGGGGCGTGGCCCTGTCCAGCATGCTCCTGTGTCTGTTGTCAGTTTAGGTGTTTGGTAATGACTCTGAGCCCAGAGCGCTGGGACATGCAGGAGTCACTTCACACCGACCCCCTCAGTGTCTGATCAGCTGATTGGCGGCTGGGAGAGTCAGAAGTGCCCCAGGACAACGTGATTGGACAAGCTGTCGCTGCTTTGGTGACGTGTGCGAGCGTGAATCCTTTCTCAAGATCTCCTTCATTGATTTCCTGTCACGTCTGTCTAATGACGAGCTGTGCCTGCGTAGGAATCTTGAACTCAGTTTGTGAGGAGCAGCCAATCAGGAGCAAAGGTGCTCAGAGGGGGAGGAGCTAAAGCAGGGTGCACAGAGGTGTCACATAAACGGGGATTATTGTTAACTCATCCAAGATGAAGGACAGGGAGCTGGAAGCAGGCAAGCGCGCCCGCGTTAATAACTGGATCAAATCTGAAGTCGGTCATCACAGCTGTCTCCACCAGAGGGAGCAAGTGCTCCATGTTGGATAGAAACCTCTAACGTAACCAGTTTGACCAGTTTGCCCCCCATCAGGTTGAAAGCCGCTGGGGGGCGGGGTTGGCGTGAGGAGGTAAATACACCAACCATCACCCAAAAGAACTGTTTGAGATCCTGTCAGGTGTGTTTGATGTCTGTACCCCCCGTACACTGACTGACGATGGCGAGGCCTCAGACTCACAGATATGAAATACAAGAGGCGTGACGGGGTTAGCGGTGAGCGCCGATGGTCCTGAGCCAGCGGGCTTCGCCTCAGTATCAAGAGCAAGCGTCTGAATGATGTTTCCGTGGGGAGAAATGAGGCCGCCATCAGCAGGTGTGTAATGTGGATTGATTCACTCCGTTGTGCTGACTGGCAGCGCTGCACAACTGCCATCAGTTATCCGCTCCGGCGGCCCGCTCGCTTCCATTTCCTCTCAAAGGCGGGCACGCTGCTTCCTCCTACAGTCGCTCGTGATGAAGAGGAGCCCGAACAACTTACAGCCATTTGTATTTTGGACGTTTGACTTTGAGCGTGTGTTCCTGAAGGTTTAGTCGAGGAAGTCCTCTGCAGATTGGTCGGGAACTTCCTGCACGGGCCAACCAGTCAGCTCAGACTTTTAACACCCGCCCTCCTTCACTCTCAGTACCAGTGACAGTTTCTTCGTTACTGCCAGCTTCCTGTCAGGCTGATGCTCATTGGCTAACGCTCACACGCTCTCCGATCAGTCTGAGGCCATCTCCTCCTGACGCGCCCGGCACGGCTCGACGGTTTGACCTCGTCAGCGGTCAGAACGTTCGTAGAAAGCCGGTGCGAGCTGGCCTGGACGGCTAAGCTCAGTTTTAATGTAGGGTTGCAGTTGGTTTTTAAACGTATTTCTGTGGTTTTGAACTTTTCTGATGGTGTTTTGGGGTCTGAGTGAATATAAAATGCCGCTGTGAGAGCTGTGCTCGTCTGATGTTGGCGTTTTTCTGCAGACAGCTTGATGAAACTCAGCTGATGGGTTTGTTTTCATGAGTGAAGAACTACAACATGACAAATGTGCCTGTTTTCTCTTTTTCAGACGATTTGGCGAGTAAAGCAAACATCATCATCGACCCCGCGGAGATCCAGGCCACGTCCATGGACGACCTGGACGAGGACGACGAGAGCGGAGCTGCTCAGGTGATGTGGTGATGTCATTTGTTTGTGTGTCACCGAGTAAACAGTATGTGTAAAAGTACACATGAGTACTTCCAGATATTGAAATAAAACGATGGAACATGTAAACGTTATGAAGAGCGAGTGCACGGCGATGGATTCAACACGTTCTGCCGCCATTAAAAACCATGAAACATTTTTATGGCGTGCACGCTCTGAGTTGGAGAGCCGATCTAACGGCGCCGGTGACGGCACGCCCGCTTTGTCTAAGCCTGCGCCCGCACCTGTTTCTGTGGGCTGAGCCGCTCTGAAGACGACATGCTGCAAAATGTTGGCGTGGCGAGACCAGAACCAGCTGACGGGTGGCTCTGCAGGGCGTGGCAGCTGCAGATGTGAAGCACAGCTGGCTGCGTCTGACGGAGAGCCTCGTCCATGTTTCTCTCAGGCTGCTTCCATTTGTCTTCATTGTTCCCGTTCACTGATCGTGGTTTTAATCCGTACTGCTTTAAGCCCCTCCCCCGATTGGCTGCCCTAGCTGAAACTGTGGGTTAGACAGGAAGTGAGGTAAAACGTATCCACTCGTTTTTTAAAGAACAAGCTTTAAAAAATTATCCTCACTGATGTTTAATATCCATAGTTTCTAAATGTGTGACCAAACATCTGTGCAGACAGCTGTGACCTCTGACCTCCTGATCCTCTGACATCACTTTTTTTTTTTCCGTCTGACCACAGAGGCTGCCTGGGGCCGTGGCGATGGGCGGAGCTCTGGCGAGGCCCAGCTGGTTGAGTTCTCCCACTTTGGGTCGGGCCAACCGCTTCTTGAGCACGGCCGCCGTCAGCCTGATGACCCCCAGGCGACCCCTGAGTCAGCCGGAGAAGGTGAAGGTCCGAACGCTCGCCGTGGAGCAGCGCACCGAGGAGGACAGTGAGTACAACTCGCTCCTGCTACGGAACTCACGGGCATCAGCCCCGTTTGCTCAGAGCTTCTCCTGCGTTTGAAAATACGAAGCAGGTCTATGTGGCAGTGCGTGGCGCCCCCTGCTGGCAGCAGGAGGTCAGTGATTTGTCAGGAAGTTTGCTTTTACAGGCGTGATGAACAGCCACACAGGGGATCACTTCCGCATTTGCTCGCTTTGCGTGGAGCTTTTAGGAAGTGAGAATCAGAATTTAATTGTGTGAGGTTCACCTAGGCGTCAACGTGACGAGCGAGTCACTTCCTCTGTGGATGTATGGCGTCATTTTTGTGCCACTATTCTGAGCGCACGTAAAAAGGTTTGCAGGTGCAAGTGTTGCATTTTGAGGAGAAATTTCTTTTGAGCGAAGAAAATTCATTCCTGCGTGCAAAGAAATAATTTCAGTGTTTGCTATCACTCACACACACTCACACACTCACTCACTCACTCACTCACTCACTCACTCACCCACACACACACACACACACACACACACACACACACACACACACACACACACACACACACACACACACACACACACACCAGCAGCCCCTCTCGCTCAGTTTTTGCATTTGTGGTGCAATGACACCGGCGTGCAGGAGACGAGCAAAGTGAGAGAAGGGCCCGAGCCGTGATCGCTGCAGGAAAACGTCTGCGCTTCCATCTTTCAGTTGGAGTCTGCGTGTTGTTCCACTTCATCCTCCAATCGAAGGTAGTGATAAATGTTCAGCCACGCTCTCCTTTCTGCACCCAGCACAGTAATCAGAGTAATCAGAGTAAGCATGGTGATGGCAGGAAACAAAGCAGCAGAGGAATCTGCCAGGTAAAATATCAGGAAGTACTTTGTCAGTGACAGTGTTGGAGACGTTTGAGAAGAAGTGATTGGTTCCTGCGTTCTGGTTCTGGATGGTGGGACAGAGCGTGGATGGAGGTGGATCGATCCCTCGCGATGTCCACCAGTGTGTTTCATACCACGTGCTTTCAGCCCGGCGTGTTCAGCTTTACGAGGTATTCGTGTGCTGGGAGCTTTAATTGGGTCACTTCCTGTTGGGGTGTGTCAGGTGTCCTGTTGATTTCACATCATTATTTTTCACTGTTGGCCCAGACTAAGTTGGTCTCTGGTTGTTTCCTTCATTAGTCAAATGAGGCGCTCGTGCCTGATTGGCCGGTTAGACACAGCGTGAAGTTGGCGTGGAGCCAGTTATCATCGCCTGAGTCTTTGGGTGGAAGTGCCACAGCTGTAAAAATCTCTTGCCTTTTTTAACCATTTCCTGTTTCTCTGCAACCTGAAGTCGAGGGAAGTCATGGCAACGACGGCCTGTTGCTGGGGCGACCGCTCGAGGAGCCCGATCAACAAATTGCAGACAAGTCGCTGCTGGAGATCGTGGACGGGATCGTGATGATGTACAACCTGAGTGTCCATCAGCAGCTGGGGAAGGTGAGTGTGTGTGTGCGTGTGTGTGTGTGTGTGTGCGCACGTCTGTGGTGTCTGCGATGAAGACCAGCGAGCACGTCATGGCCGTGCCTTAAACGAAGTGCTGAAGCAAAGAATGTGTCTAGAATTTTTTCTAATCGAATTATTCGAAACACACGATGAACCGTTGCAGCCCTAACTATATGCTTTAAAGGAAAGTTTGAAGCCTAATCTTGAAAGTAGAGATAGTGTCTGTCTCCTGAATCCAAACTGGAAGCTGGTTCCACAGAAGAGGGGCCTGAAAACTGAAGGCTCTGCCTCCCATTCTACTTTTAAATACTCTAGGAACAACAAGTAGGCCTGCAGAGCGAGAGCGAAGTGCTCTAATAGGGTGATATGGTGCTACAAGGTCATTAAGATAAGATGGGGCCTGATTATTTAAGACCTTGTATGTGAGGAGCAGGATTTTGAATTCTGGATTTAACAGGAAGCCAAAACAGGAGAAATCTGCTCTCTCTTTCTAGTCCCTGTCAGGACTCTTGCTGCAGTATTTTGGATCAGCTGAAGGCTTTTCAGTGAGTTTTTAGGACTTCCTGATAATAATGAATTACAGTCGTCCAGCCTGGAAGTAATAAATGCATGAACTAGTTTTTCAGCGTCACTCTGAGACAGGATATTTCTAACTTTAGAGATGTTGCACAAATGAAAGAAAGCAGTCTTACATATTTGTTTAATATGTGCGTTGAAGGACGTGTCCTGGTCAAAAATGACTCCAAGGTTCCTCACAGCGTTACTGGAGGCCAAGGTAATGCCATCCAGAGTAAGAGTCTGCTTAGATACCATATTTCTAAGCTTTTCAGGGCCGAGTACAATAACCTCAGTTTGATCTGAATTAAGAAGCAGAAAGTTAGCGGCCATCCAGGTCTTTATGTCTTTAAGACATTCCTGCAGTTTAACTCATTGGTGTGTGTTATCTGGCTTCATGGACAGATAGAGCTGGGTGTCATCTGCATAGCAGTGTAAATGTATGCTATGTCTTCTAATGATGCTGCCTAAGGGAAGCATGAATAATGTAAACAGAACTGGTCCTAGCACTGAACCCTGTGGAACTCTGCTGTAAAGGTTAATGCTGCATATTTTATTCCTGTGACTTTCTCTGCAGCTGGTTTTGTCTGCAGGTGGAAAAACTCCCACAGTGAGTTCATCCTTTGGTTTGGTGCTCATCACGCTCCAGTTGGTCACATCACTGTTAACAATCCCTTCTTGTTTTAAACTTCTATATTTAAAACTTGCTGAAGTATCTGTGGGCGGTCCTGACCTTTAGCTGCATCCACCTTTCTCTCGGGTGGGTTGACCCGAAGCAGCTGTGCTCAGAGCGCTGTGATTTGTGTGTCTGGTTTTATTTTTACGTTTTTATTCGAGGTGTCTGAATAACGTGTCTGTGCGCATTAAAGCGAAGCACTCCGAGTCCTCTGGTCAAACACGGGCGCCTCGCTGAGCCTGAAGGTTTTTTCTACTCTGCGATTGGCTCATCCTCCCCACACTAACGCTGTGCGACCTCTGACCCCTGTCTCATTTAAAAGCGCCTCTGAGTCTGTAACGTGTGCGTTTCCATCACGTAGCTGCTGCGTGGTCAGACTCTAATGACGAGTTTTCATGGTCGCTGTGACAATCAGCCAATTAGATCGCTCGTGCCTCCAGTGTTTTTCTCAGCAGCGTGCTAACATGTGTCTCTCCTCTCAGATGGTGGTGGTGTCGGACGACGTCCATGAGTACGCCGTGGCGCTGAAGGATACGGAGGAGAAGATCGCCCGCTGCCCCGCCAGAGTGAGTGCCACCGCCGCCTCAGCTGGACATCAGGGCGAGTTTTAGAAGCAGTGCTTGGTCTGAGTGACCCTCATCACTCAGGTCACTCAGACCAAGGCTCAGATTGGTGAGGTGGGTGGGGTCAGCAGTGGGACCTGATTGGCTGATTGACCGAGTCAGACAGCTTTAGACAGATTATCACTGCAGTGGGAGAGAGGAGCTCAGGAGGTTCATGGATGCTGGGAGACGGAGGCAGATGATTGGCTGTGGCGCCCCCTGTGGGAGAAAGACCGTTGTTGCAGGCTAACAAAAACGACTGCTTAGCTTTGGATTCATGGTTTACAGAGCCTCTGATTTTCCTCGACAGCAGGTGTCCGTGTGTCTGCTCTCTGTCTGACATGAGATCACTTCTGATTGGATCACGTCCAACGACACGAACGATAGAACAAAAGAGCATCTCTCAGTGAAAGGGGGGATGGCTCGGTTAACGCGCCCCTCCACCCCTCACTGGGGCGACGCATTCCCACCAACAGGCCCTCATTTTCTGCCACGCTTCGTGTTTTCATGTCGTTCTCTCTGCAGGATTTCTTTATTGATGTTCGCTGTAGTTATTAAACTCAAATGTGTTGAAGTGAGACTCATGCTCAGGCTTTATTCAGGTCACAGGCCTCCTCTGGTTTCCCACTGAATCTAGAAACCCTCGTTTAAACGCCGCTGTTGGTCCGTCCTCATTAATAAATCTGACGCACTGCTTTTTGTTTGTCGGAGCTCTTCTCGAGGTAATTGGCCGCGCTGCTGTCAGCCCGTCGTGATGCAGAAGCTCCTCTCATTAGTGCCGCGGAGTAAACTCGCTCTCTGAAGGCAGACGGGAAGAGTCGGAGGAGCGCCCCCATCAGGAGCGATGCATCCTGCGATCGGCGAGGGCCTCAGTCAGGCCGTGTATGTCCTCGTTAACTGCAGGGAACCAGAAACCTGCAGCGTGCACATCATGTCAGATCAGAGGCACACGTACCTGCTCACATCACCTGGGAGCGTCTCCGCTCCTGCGGTCCAGGGAATAACGGAGTAACCGAACGCGGCACGGACGCTCTGCTGCTTAATGATCGCGTGTCTGTTTCAGAGGGCCGACATCCTGGAGGAGCTCCAGAAGAGCCAGAAGGTTTTTGCGGAGAAGCTGAACCACCTGAGCAGGAGGCTGGCCTGGATCAACGCCACCATCTACTCCAAGGTGAGCAGGCCGCTCCGCCCGCTGTGCATCCGCATTAAATGGTGGATTTTGTGTTGTTTCTGAGCTGTGTGCTGCTGCTGTCTCCAGGAGAAGATGCTGGACATCTACTGGCTGCTGTGTGTCTGCATCCGCACCATCGAGCACGCCGACAACACCGGCTCTCTGTTCGCCTTCACATCAGAGTTCTACCTCAACGTCGCCATGAACGCGTACAGCGCCCTGAAGAACTACTTCAGCCCGGCTAACGGCATGGACGAGCTGCCCGGTAAGCACCGCGAACCATCAGCCCACCCAGCCTGCAGGTGATGTTTGACCTGAGGCAGGTCGTTGAACGGGCGGGGCGCGCTTCATCAGGGTTGTTATGGAAGACAGTTGGAAGATTTATTTTTTTGTATTAGTCTTTGCTGTGAAGCCAAGCGAGCGTTCCCTTTTCCACCTCACCTGTCGAAGGTGTCTGCAGGTGCACCTGCGCGAGTCGTGGTCCAGCTGTGCTTCAGTGTTTGATCCTGTTTTAGGTTAACGCCGTTTCTGTGACGTCGGGTTTTTGTTTCCCGTCTCGTGTTTGTGTGTTTAAACGATGCTTGCGCTGAAAGTCTCCCCACAGCATCGCACCTCCACAGCCTGCACCGCTCACACAGGCGGGCTGGTTGTGTTCTCCCCACCTCTGAGCCGACCACGTCGCAGCAGACGTAAGGAGACGTCCAGATTGGTCGGTTTGTTTTTTCTGTTCTTAGCTTCAGGAGTGAGACGGCGTGATCTGCTGCTGTTCTTCTGCGCACCTTGGTTATAACGAGTTGTTATTTTATTGGTTATCGATTAGCTGTTATTTCTTTTGACTTCCTGTCAGCTCGAAGCAGTCTGCCCTTCTCCTCTGACCTCAGCAGGGCGTTTCCTGAACTCTAGAGCAGGCGTGTCAACCGTACGAGATGATTTCATCTGTCAGTCGTTAACGGGCCGCCGGTATGTGGGAGCCGGACCTTCAGCCCTACTGGGAACCCATGCAGACAGGGCGGCGCAGTATTTTGATTTTGATGGGCACACCATGTGGCCATTCACGCGCAATGACACCATCATCTGTGAAAGAAGAGGGCAAAGCTTCTTTAGCAGCAGTAGTAGCAGATGAAATGGGCTTTGTGATGAGATGCTTCATCGATTCATTTGTTAGTACTTGAAGACACTTCCATCCTCGATAAAGCCGACTCGAGGTCACTGAGGTCATACGGTCTCATTTTAGCTGGTTTGACGTTTGCGTTACTTGATGAAGTGGACGGACTTTTACTATTATTTTATTAATATTTGTAGTAATTAGCTCGACCCCGGATGATGCACGTGTATTTACGAGCCACTACGAGTTTTCGTGGACCTCCAATCTGTGGCTTGCAGACCCCTGGGGGTCCGTGAACCCCAGTTTGAGAGCCAATGGTCTAAATGAGCCTCACAGGCCTGAATGTGTGTTTGACGCCGTTTATAATCATTATAACTACAGACTCTGCTGCTCATCACAAACAAGCACAAGCAGACTTTTTACACACACACACACACACACACTGACACACAGACACACACACACACACTGACACACACAGACAGACACACACAGACACACACACACACACACACGCACACAGACGCACGCAGACGCACACACACACAGACGCACGCAGACGCACACGCACACACACAGACGCACACAGACGCACACAGACACGCACAGACACACGCACAGACACAGACACACAGAGACACAGACACACACACAGACACAGACACACGCACAGACACAGACGCACACAGACACACACAGACACACGCACAGACACAGACACACGCACAGACACAGGCACACACACACGCACACAGACACACGCACAGACACAGACACAGGCACAGACACAGGCACACACACACGCACACAGACACACGCACAGACACAGACACAGGCACAGACACAGGCACACACACACGCACACAGACACACGCACAGACACAGACACACGCACAGACACAGACGCACACACAGACACACGCACACACAGACACACACAGACACACGCACAGACACAGACACACGCACAGACACAGGCACACACACACGCACACAGACACACGCACAGACACAGACACAGGCACAGACACAGGCACACACACACGCACACAGACACACGCACAGACACAGACACACGCACAGACACAGACGCACACACAGACACACGCACACACAGACACACACAGACACACGCACAGACACAGACACACGCACAGACACAGACGCACACAGACGCGCACACACACACGCGCACACAGACGCACACAGACACACACAGACACACACAGACGCACGCACACACACAGGCACACACAGGCACACACACAGACGCACACAGACACACACAGACACACGCACAGACACACGCACAGACACACGCACAGACACAGGCACACACACACGCACGCACACAGACACACACAGACACACGCACAGACACACGCACAGACACAGACACACGCACAGACACAGACACAGACACACGCACAGACACAGGCACACACACACGCACACACACAGACGCACACACACAGACGCACACAGACGCACACACACACGCACACACACAGACGCACACAGACGCACACAGACACAAGCACAGACACACGCACAGACACACACACACACACAGACACAGACACACACACACACACAGACACACACACACACAGACACAGACACACACACACACACACACTGACACACACTGACACACACTGACACACACACTGACACACACACGCACAGACACACAGGCACAGACACACACACGCACACAGACGCACGCAGACGCACACGCACACAGACGCACACAGACACACACACAGACACACGCACAGACACACGCACAGACACAGACACACAGAGACACAGACACACAGAGACACAGACACACACAGACGCACACAGACGCACACAGACACAGACACACGCACAGACACAGGCACAGACACAGGCACACACACACGCACAGACGCACACAGACGCACGCACACACACGCACACGCACAGACACACGCACAGACACACGCACAGACACACGCACAGACACAGACACACGCACAGACACAGACACACGCACAGACACAGACACACGCACAGACACACACAGACGCACGCACACACACAGGCACACACACAGACGCACACAGACACGCACAGACACACGCACAGACACAGACACACGCACAGACACAGGCACACACACACGCACACACACAGACGCACACAGACGCACACACACACGCACACACACACGCACACAGACACACACACACAGACACACGCACAGACACACGCACAGACACAGACACACAGAGACACAGACACACGCACAGACACACGCACACACACAGACACACGCACAGACACACGCACAGACACAGACACACAGAGACACAGACACACGCACAGACACACGCACACACACAGACACACACACTTTATTTTATCTTTCTCCCTCAGGCTACGAGGAAACTCTGACTCAGCTCGCTGCCATCCTCGCGAAGCACTTTGCAGATCCACGCATCGTTGGGACAGGTAACACACACACACACACACACACACACACACACACACACACACACACACACACACACACACACACACACACACATAACATTTTTCTGTCTCGGGGAGATTTTCAATAAAGATGTGACAGATTAAAGGAAAACCCTGACCTTGGCACCACTTCATAAAAATGGGTCACGCCTCACAGTTTTCATCCAATCATAGCGAGCCAGAACAGGTCCACCTTTGATTCTAGTTGAGTAAAGAGCAGCTGGAATCGGCAGTCTCCTCTTCTGAGATCACTTTTATTCATGTGTCCGACTCTCTGCGGTCCTGCTGCCCTCGCAGTGCAGAGCGGGACACTAAGCTTCATTTCTAATTAAAGACACGCCTCCACTGGCCTGGAGGGCGCTCTCCTTCTTGACCTCTTCAGTTCTTACTAAGACTGTTTAGAATAAAACCTTATTTCTATAAAGTGAGGCCAGTTGTAACAAGCTTAGCTTCACTGCATGTTGCTGGTGTCTCCACCCACAGGGTGGTGTGGATCTGTGCAGCACTCTCAGGTGGAGCACACACCTGACCCTTTAGGACAGCTTTTCCTTTAATCTGTCCCCGGTCTGCGTGTCCTTCTCTGTACTCGTGTTTAGGGCTGGGCCATATTATACCGTTCACGGTAATACCGGTATAATGTTAGGCAACGATAGGAAAATGAAATATCGCGATAGAATATGAGTAAAACGCGCATGCGCAGTGCCTTTGTTTTCATACGCACATGGCCGATTGTTGAGTGAAACAGATGAACCAGAATTGGTTTGTACAAATGGTGCAACTTCAGTGATGTGGAACTGGTTTGGTGTTTGTCCGTCAGATACACAACAAAGCACATTTTTTTGCAGAACATGCAAGCGGCCGTTGTTATTGTCGTATTTGTCGGACTAAGATGCTCTTAAATCTGGGAGTAATCTGGGTCCTAAACTCCGTATGCTTCAGGTCAAACAACACTGCAGCATCACTGAGAGTTAAAACCTGTCTCAATTCTTTCATCTTTAATAAAACGATCAGCATTGCTGCTTTACCAGGTGTAACTATAAAGTTTAACTTCCAGGCATCCATGAAAACAAAAGTTATTACATTTAACGGAGTTAGAAGTTAGCAGGAAGCTAGCGGAAGTTAGCTCGCTAGTTTCGCTAGTTACCTAAGCATGATATAGTATGTTCTGACTGAGAGATTTCTGAAAAAATTCAAACGTACAGCTCTGCTATCACTTCCAACATAAATGAAGACAGGAAACGAAACAGCAGTGACGTTTGTAGGGTTACTGAAGTTGGGCTAGCTGGTATATAATGATGTGCTACGTGATCGCTAGCGACACAGCTATGTTAGCATAACATAAACAGTGAAGCTGGAGGACGAACACTAACACTTTTCCACTTATAAAAGTTAACGTGAAGGTTCCTGATAGTTAGAGACAAATGCAATCACATGGCAGGATGCTGTAAACGGACCAAACTTCAGTCAGGAGAACAACTGAGATAATCCATCCACAATACGAGGTTAGTCATTAATATACTGCAACAACATGGGAATAGAGCCGCTGCCAGAGAATTCAACATTAATGAATCAATGGTACAGAAGTGGAGGAAGCAAGAAGAATGAGTTTAATAAAGTTTGATTTATCTGACTGCTTTGTTTCGCTTAATGTGCCTTATAATCCCGTGCACCTTATGGTCTGAAAAATACGTACTGCACACTGCAGTTTAATGTTGCAAAGCACCTCTTTTTAACTTCAGTGGATATTATACATGGTTATGCTCAGGATATGTCAGCACATTTCTACTGGAAATGCCTTTTGGTTAAACTTTCAGCAAGGAATTTGCATTTGCACTGTTACATTTTTATAAAGCTTTAATGTACATAAAAACCAGCTTCTTGTTTAAGTGAAAATAAATGGAAGGTTGTCTTTTTGCGCGAGTAATGTTGTGGAGTTGTATTTTGTCTCGCATCAATTATATCGTCAGTTATATCGTTATCGCAAATTTTCAAATATATATCGTGATAAATATTTTTGGCCATATCGCCCTGCTCTACTCGTGTTTGTCTTTTAGTGCAGATCAGCTCCAGTCAGAGGAAGCTAGCCCCTCTGTGCAGCAGCGCCCCCTGCTGGGTGGTCAACACTTACTCCACCCACCCACTCCTGGACCTCCACCTCCTCCAGCTGTTCTGTGGGTTCTGTAATCTCCAGCTGTGTGTGCTGGGCCTCCTGGTCAGATGCTGAACCTCCTCCACTGCCTCCCTTCCATATAGAGGAGCAGCAGCTCTCCTCTGAGCCCCTCACTATCTCTTGTCTATGAATGACCACCTTACAGGGGTGGAGATGTTTGCATGTTGGCCAGAACTGTAGGAGGGTGTCGTGTGAGCAGGTCACATGGGTCCCACCCACAGTCAAAGGTTCCTGATCCTCTTGGTGTAATCCAGAGAGCTGATCTGGATCCAGGCTGAGGACGGAACATTTAGCCTCGGTTTGTGACCCGTCGCCTGGAAACGGCTGATGGGGTGGCGTCGACACCGCCCGCCCGGGGATGTGTGAATGTGATAACTTGAACGAGGTGACGTAGCAGCTTCACATTCATACCGAACGTGCATCTACGAGGAGACGGAGGGCGAGCACTGGAGCCCACCATAACTAATGAACCGAATCCCCCGAGGACCGCGGGACGCCTCGCAGCAGAAATGATGAGCTCAGCAGTTCCATCCATCATCTGAGATAAAACGCCGTGCGGGGAAATCCGGCCTCGAGCGGTCTGGTCCAAACGGCGAGGCGGGACCTGTTAATTATGAAGTCCTGCTGGAGGACAGCGGAGGAGACTGAGTGGATGTAATGGCTTAGACGCGCCTCACTGCCATTTTTAATGAGGAGACTGAAGATGAGGAGGAGGAAGGGTAGAGGATGGGAAAGTGAGAGCCTGCTGATAACAGTGTGTCATTAGAAAGGTGTAACTGATCGTGTGTGTGAGACCGACCTGGAAGCAAACAGCAGGGGGCGCTGCTGCACACGCGCAGTAAAGCTGTTTTCCTGCTGCAATGTTTATTTTTCCAGCTGTCTTTGAATCTCTGATCTGCTCTCTCTCCACAGATATCAAAGACTCTCTGATGCAGGCGCTGGCCAGCTACGTCTGTTACCCACAATCCCTCAGGGCTGTGGAGAGGATCCCGGAGGAGCAGTGAGTCTGGTTTGATTGTTTTCCAGAAAAACCTTCAGGGTGACTGAGCTGCTGCTCTTCAGTGATCAGTAAACACTTACTTGCCCATCCCACCTGGACAGGTGGCCAGTCCATCGCGGGTGACGCACACTCGCCACTCACTCTCTCACCTGCAGTCAGTTAAGCTAACGAGCGCGTGCTTGGCGTGTGGGAGGAAACCTGCGACCTTGGGGAGACGCTTCCTGCTGTGAGCCGATGGCGCTAACCGCTGCTCCACCGAGAGGGGCGGCCGTGAGCTCATGTCCTGCAGCGGTCCAATCCCGTGGCTCCAGTTGTCTTTGAACCGACCAATCAGCATGCCACATTAAATACCAGCGGCTCCCCTCCTGTGTGAATTCGGACGCAGCGCTCGAGTCTTTGCGATGAGACGCATTTAAAATAGAAAGTCTAAATCTGCTAATGGTGGATTCTTATTGGCTGGCAGCATTTAAGGCTGTTAGAGGGTTTAATAAAGCCACGCTGTGCCCTCTGTAACATGCTGGAGTTTGTGGGGTGGTGTAGTTGGATCCATGCACTACACCCACTCTGAGAGCTGTTTTCATCTGACCTCTGACCCTGAAACCTGCCGGCAGGGTTCAAACATCAGGGCGGGACCAGCAGCGGGGCGTCGGCAGAGACGGCGGGCAGTCTGATGTGAATAACAGCTGCGCTCACAAACGGAGCTCCTGAAGGGATTGATGTCATGTGGTGTCAGCTCGCCACAGCTGATGGATCAACGTGTGTCCGGCGTGCAGCTCGTGATGAGCGGCCTAGTTTGTCTCCTTACACTAAACGACACACGGCATCGTTTCTGAGCATCAGTCAGGATTAAACGTCCCTCAGCTCTGTCTGCTCACAGGGAAGTTGCACGATGCGTGCCGCCGCCGCCGCTTCCTCCCTCGGTCCACGCCCTCGGGCTGTGTGTTAGTCCTCTCCACGTGTAGCACGCTCGCACTCTGACAGCTGGGTGAGAAGTGGGTGCATTGTTTTTATTGTTTGTGCCTTTTTAGCTGCTGTAATCGAGCCTGATGTGCGAGCCGAGCCAGAGCTCTGCTCACTCAACGTCTGCGGTGACGTTAGCAGCATCAGAGCAGCTGTTCAGCTGTCATGGAAACAGCTGCTCCCACTGAAATGATGTTTATGTGTCGGAGCTGACAGGAAGTGACGTGTTGATGCTCACCTGTCTGATTCCAGGCGAGTGGCCATGATGAAGAACCTGCTGGCTCCGTACGAGCAGAGACCCTGGGCCCAGACCAACTGGATCCTGGTCAGACTGTGGAGGGTGAGACAGACACACACACACACACACACACACACTCCTAACAGGCCAATATCCAAACTGCCTTTTATATAGAAGGTTTTAGAAAACGTAGTAGTAGAACAACTTAACTGCATTTTTATCCAGGAAACAGTTATGGACACTTTCCAGTCTGGTTTTTGTAAATTGCATCCCACTGAAACGGCCTCCCTTACAGTATCCACTGATGTCTTGATGGCAGCAGACTCTGGAGAGGACGCAGTGCTGGTCCTGCTGGATCTCGGCTCTGCTTTTGATGCTGTAGATCACAGCATCCTGATAAACAGACTCGAGAACTTGTTTGGGATTACTGCTGTTGTTTTAAAATGTCATATTTGTGTGAGAGATCTTTTACTGTTCATGAATCGTGGAGCCTCAGGGACCTGTCCTGGGTCCAGTTCTAGTTCTGCTTTATATATTCCCCCCGAGCCAAATTATTAAGCGCTATAAAAATATCTCCTATCATCTCTATGCTGATGACATCCAACTGTACTGTTCCTTCAGGATTTCTGACTTTTATAAATTGTCTAATTGAAGTCATTGGTTGACAGAAATCAACCAGCGGTTAAATGACAATTCCCTCCAACTAAACTCTGATAAGACAGAAACTCAGCGTATCAGCTTCTTAGACCCTCCTGTAAAATCGAGCCTCAGAAACCTCGGTGCCATGTCTGACAGCTCGCTGTCGCTCGAGCAGCCGGTCCGAAACTGTTTTTATCATTTACTGAATGTTTCTAAACTCAGACTAATGGAGTCAAAGCCTGAACTTGAGGTGATTATTCGTGCTTTTACTTCCTCTCGGTTAGACTACTGTAACCTTTTACTTGTTTTAACAAATCAGCCTTAAATCGTCTTCAGACGGCGCAGAAGGCTGCAGCGCGACTGTTAACAGGCTCCAAGAGAAGGTCTCGTGTTACTCCAGTTTTAGCTTCCCTTCACTGGTTGCCTGTAAGTTTTAGGTTTGATTTTAAAATTTTAGCTGTAACCTTTAGAGCAGGTCTGATAAATATTGGAGACCATGTAGGGCCCTGCATGGTCTCCAATATTTATCAGACCTGCTGACACGGCACTCATCTTCTCGAGCTTTACGGTCATTAGATCAGAGGCGCTGGTGGCAGCGCCCCACGGCTGTGGAGTCTCTCCCACGGTCTCTACGCTGCACGGACTCATTGTTTTAAAAAACAGCTGCAGACATTTTTATTTAGAAAAGCATTTTATTAATTTCCTCTTATGTTGTTTTATTTACAGTTACGTTGTTTTATATTTCCATTTCTTGTGTGTTAAAGCACTTTGTGGTTTTTATCTGTGAAAAGCGCTATAAATCAATTTTACTTGCTCAGCTGTTATGAGCAGGTGCTGCGATCCTGCCGTCAGCTCTGGGCCACGGTGAAGTCTGTTCATGCAGCACATTTAAAAGAAGCAGAGCTTCACAGGAAGCCGACAACAGAACAGTATCTTTACAGGATGACGAGGTTGAGCTCGAGGCCAGAGAGTCGGAGTGAGACTGGAGCAAAAGTAGAAGCAGCTCCTGTATGAAGGGCAACAGCTGAAAGAACTGAAGGTGTTTACTGAGGATCAGCAGACCGCAGTGTTCAGACTAATGCACCAACACATTCAGTCTCTATAGGAATCCTCCACGAAATGAAGCTCGCAAAGGGTTAACATGTTCACGCTGTCTTGCCTCAGGTGAAAGTGGAGCAGCGGCTGTCACCAATCACAGCCAAGCTTTGAACAGACTGACGGATGCACCGCCCTGAGTGGTCGAGAGAGGCCGGTCAGCACAAGCAGACATGGCGTCTTTCTTTAAGATGAAAATCAGCGTTTAACCAGTTCTTTAGGTCATCACGGCCGTTTAACAAAGATACAGTGACGTGTTCGGGCTTTTGCTCAGTATTTGTTGTCTAACACAAACATTTATTGATCGTTTATTGTTAATTAATCAGTGAAATCAGCACTGATGAAGTGTTAGTGCTGCAAGAAGTAAAGCAGCGTCTGGAAGATGATCAGCACTGATGCTTCAGCGATTATCTTCCAGACGCTCCAGTGTTTTTGCAGTTTGACTGAGAGAAGCTGTCTCCCTGCAGCTCTGCTGACCTTCATCCCTCTCTCTTCCTCAGGGTTGTGGTTTTGGCTACAGATACACTCGCCTCCCTCATCTGCTGAAAACCAAACCCGAGGATGCCAACCTGCCCAGTCTGCAGAGTAGGTGCTCTTTGCTGTTCTGTCTGTGCATGCCTGTCATCAGCTCCCGTCTCCTCCTCTTGGTTTGCAGCACGCTCCCGGTTCAGGTGCTCGCTCTTTCATGAATTTCCATAAATAAATTGAGGCGGCGGCCTCGTCTGCAGTTTATTTTTGCCGCAGCTCGCTGTGATTTACGGCTTTAATCATCAGCGTTTGTGGAGGTGAACGTCAGAAATGAATCACCAAAGTTGTGTGTGATGTTTGTGCCGAGATGAAGACTGACGTTTTATTTTAGGAAGCGGCTCTGCAGCGCTTCAGTGTTTGTGCTGAAAAACACAGACGGCCTCGACTCGCCGTCGACATCATGCAGAAACATCTGCTCTCAGAGTGAAGCGCTGCTCGGTCCTCGCACGCCGAGCTGTGGATCGTCACGTGGAGGCACTTTAGCAGCCTGCGGTGCTTTATGGGAGCGTCTGCATCCAAAAACACCTGCCCTGCACCCCCTCACTGACTCTGTGACGCTCCTCAGTGGGTTTTTAAAGAGCTCAGGGTGGAAAAATAAAAGCCAAATGCAATAAAACTGCTCGACACACTCAAATAACAACAGTGCAAAAAGGAAAGTAGCTCACTAAATTCTTTTAAAGGGGAAATTCATTCATTACTTTAGGTCAGTTATACACCAGCCTCTCTCCTGGACGTCTCCATACCTGCACAGGTGTTTTATCTGCACCGTCCAATCTTCGTCCTCTTCGTAGCTTCCCTCAGTTCCTCCTCCTCTTCACTGACTGTCTTGGATCTGTCTGCCTCACTCGGAGTGCTCCTTCCAGCTTCTCAGCGCACTCCCAAAGGACAGAATAGAGATTCAGTAGAGACAGAATAAACACAGAATAGAGACGGAGTGATAGAGCCACTGCCTCTTCTACGTCCAGCATGCCGACTACACTATGCTACGCCTCCCATCAGGTTTGGGCGCTCGTGTTTCCCAGTTTGTTATTCCTGCTGATGATCTGCTGGGTCAGCGTACAGAGCGCAGGCACAGAGCTCGAACCCCTCTCCTCGTCTCTAAAACTGAGGGATGGATGAGGGTGGTACACTGAGAGTGCAAACACCAGAGGTTAAAGATGAGTAATCGGTCAGACTCAGGGCGTGGCATGGGTCGGAGGGCGTGGCTGAAGTCAGAGGGCGTGGTAGTGACTGTGTCGTGAATATGAACTGGGACAGAAGCTCTGTCCGTGGTGCTGAATCCTGTTTGTGTCCCACCCGAGTCTTACTCCTGCACGGACGCTGACTTCTCTGTGCTTCTCCTTTGCATGCCTTTCAGGAGATCTGTCCATTGCTAGTTTCCAGAGTAAGTTCATCATTTCACCTCTCCCAGTGTTGTCCTCGCTGTCTCTGTCTCCTGCTCCCTTCCTTCTGCTCTCCTGAGCCTCCTGAGCCTGACTCAGCCAGAAGTGCACGTTGTACTTAATCTATAAACGACCCTCTGGTGGAACTCGGTCGATACTCAGCGTTTCAGGTTGGAGGCACAGCTGCCCCCGTTGAGGGTTTTTTTTTCCTCTCCAGCTGATCTGAATCTTTGTCATTTTTTGCTTTAGATCAGGGGTGTCAAACATAAGGCCCAGGGGCCAGAATTGGCCCAGCAAAGACTCCAGTCTGTGGACAACTCTTGAAAGTTATTTCAGAGTCTGTTTCTTTTCTTGGTGATAAAGACCCACCGTTCAGGTGATTTAGTAATATAATAATAACAGTTATGGTAATATGTGTCGTTTTGGCTGCTGTTACAACCAAACTTCCCCTTGTGGGACAATTAAAGGATTATTCTATTCTATTCTATTCTATGTACTATAAGGTTTAAATAAAAAAAATAAAAAATTCCATTTTTTTCACTGTTGACTTTAAAATAGATTACTGCCAAAAATGAGCAGAAAGGTTGTTTGGTAATCACAGGACAGTCGAGAGTTTGACTCGTTTCTTATCATCTGACAGGCAACAGGCATTCAAAGTGAGGCGTGCTCGCACGTCACAGGTTACACGTGTCGTTGAACGTCTTCACGCTGACGCGGCGCTCGCTGGTCTGGCCTGAGACCAAAGTGAGCTGTTTGTTTCCCGCAGCAGAAGAAGAGTTCGACATCCTGCTCTGGATACTTGGAGTCTGTCTCGCGTGATGTCCACATCGAGCTTTTTCCTTCGTTCTTCATTATGACTCATTACAGAAACTCTGTTGGATTGTTGTCTTACTGTGAGCTCATCTTTGGACGTCGTTCGGTGGAAAAACGGACAAGTATAAAAGGCGGAGGCGGTCTGGGTGGTGCTCATAATGCAGCTGCTGTGCGCTCGTGGCGGCTGCCTCGGTTTAAAGCTCGAGGCCTAATAGCTTCGTTTCATTGTTAATTGGATTCATATTTGTGCTCCGTGTAAACGGCTGCGGCACTTTTTATTTTTTAGTTTCCTTCAGTCATAAGAAATCAAATCTGTAGCTGTGCTGATGGAGCCCAGAAAAACTCAGTAATCCCAGTAATAAATAGGACTGGGTATCGTCACTGGTTTCTAGAATCGATTCGATTTGAATCTGGGAAACTTTGCTTCAGACAGTCACAAATATTATAATTCAGATCACTACATAGTTTTTCTTTTTAATAATAATAATAATAATAATAATAATAGCATAACAACATTGATAATTACAGAATTTTTTTAAAACAAACAAAAACAAAACAAAGAACTCAAAAAAAAAGAAAAAGTGAGGAAACCAGAAAACCCATCATGTGAACCCCTCCCACCATCCCCCCACCCCTTTACCCCTGTATGGCTCTCAGCCTCATCACATTCGTGTATCCAGACAGCCCATATTTACACCTCTCTATAGAAACTCTCATGCACAGGAATCAACACCCCCACGATAAAACTGCAGCATTCAGGGAGTCGAATCAGCAGGGCCCAACCGGGGATCAGCTCAAGGCAGACCCAGGCAGTACCACCGTCTTTGGACCTAACAGACCATCGAGATGGCGCAGATCCCCTCAGATCCCCCTTTGTGTTTATGTCTTCGTGCAGAATCGTGTTCCTGCTCTCATTTACTGTTTTGGTGGTTGTTTAAATTTTGTGAGGTTTAACCTGAGATTCTGGCGTTTTGGGCAAAATAAATTTATATTTCAAAAATCGATTCAGGATTTTAATGAATCGATATCACGTTATTCAAGCCAGTCGATAAATTAATTATCAAAACCCGCCCCAGTAATAAACCCCAACTGGGACGCATCTCACAGCATCGTACTTGAGACTCAGCGGGTGTTTTTTGTTATATTGTTCAGAGGGCAGAGAGGATTGGATTTAATGACTCCACGGAGCTGCCGTCAGCTCCCGGAGGAGGCCGAAGCGCCAGAGAGCCGTCCTTCATCTATTTGCTGCCTCCTCCTCCTCTCCTCAGTGTTCCCTGCTCTCTTTGCCGTGTCCTTCCTCCTCCATCCCTCCTCTGCGTGTCTGTGACCGTTTTCCCTCGGTGTCCCGTTTCCTTTCACTCATGTTTGCTTTGGTTTTGAAGAATATGACAGACATGTAGAATAGAATAGAGTAGAATAGAATAGGCCTTTATTGTCATTGTACATGCACATAGAGGAAACGGCGAGTGTCTGTAACGCTGTCCACACGGCGTCCTACACCTGCTGCTGCTGCCGGGGCGGGCCGGGCAGCGTCCGGTCCTCTGCTTTCTCTCTGCTCACCTGTCCTCTGTCATCTGATTGGTTCAGAGCCGTGCCCGTCGTTGCTGCTGCAGAGACACATGGCGGAGCTGCTCAGCATGGATAAAGACATGGCCGCCTCTTTCCTCAACAGCGTCCTGAACCAACTCAACTGGGCCTTCTCAGAGTTCATCGGCATGATCCAGGAGGTAAGAACAACCAGAGTCCCAGCAGGTGCGGGGGAGGACGCGCAGGACGCGGCGTTGAATAGAAGGTCCAGAAACACCAACTCTCATTATTTAAACATCAACAGAAACGACGAGTGCTTAAAAACCCTGAAATTCTCTCATTAGTATTCATGTCCCGTTACAGCATGTTTAATAATGTCTTTAATATTTATACTCAGTACCTCCGACTCACTTTATTAATTACTGATACTGAAGTAAAGTTTGATTGGAGCTCTTCATAAACGCAGATCATTCGTTTCAGTCTGCTTCAGATTTCCCACATTCCCACAGCATCGTCCGCATGCTCAGAGGACCTGGAGGACTCTGATAAATCCGTG